TAAGTAAACATGAAAGTGCCCATAGTATTTCCAAAGAGCTTTTTAGTCTTTTCTCTAACAACACAGATGAGATCATTAGACTGACAGGAAGAAAGCAATTACAAACGTGAGAGAGAAGATGATTAAGCACCACCTGGCATTTTATATGAACTACGTAGCATTACAGCCCTGGATTGATATATCCTGCCTCATTTGGCTATTATATAAGCAGATGAGGAACCTAGTCATGGAGGTTAATGGATTTGGGGTTTAAGTCCAGGTTTTTCTGATGCCATAGTCTATGCTCGAAAGCAGTTTGCTAGAGAAAAGAGGAGGCTGTTATGGGAATCTCTTTTATTGTAATCTCCTGCTTGTTTGCCATTGATCTACCATCTCCTTTCATTTTTAGCTAAAGACATCAAAACCTTCAAATTTGACAGAATCCCTTATACTCCAGAGGCAGAGATTTCTGCTAACAGACATCCCTTGTCTCAGGATGGGGAACGTCCAGAGGGCTGTAGGAAGCCTGTGAAATCATTTGGTCTGGCCCTGCCAAGGCATTAGGGGGGAGTTAAATGTCTGTCCAAGCATAGCAGGCTAATTTTTAAGTTGATAATTGTGTACAACACAAGAATTATGTTATAAACATCCAAATGGCTTTTGGCAGAAAAAAAGGTTCCCCACCCCTGCCTTATGTAGAGAATGGAGGCAGGATTATAGACGTCCACATCAGTGTCTTTTTGGCCAGAGTGGTGCGAACTGGCTAATAAAAAAAATGGGTGGTAAGTCAAAAAGAAGGGAAACTGATTGGAGAGGTGACGTCTGTTAAGGTCAGGGGGATGAGGATGACCAGGGTAGTGGATCATGGGATCATGTGGTAACAACTGCAGAGCCTGGTCATGGACTGATGGTCCATAATTAGATGTGGAACTCTAGATTCAGGTTCTGTTGTGTGTGTTTATAAATATATTTTTATTGATTTCAGAAAGAAAGAGAGGAAGACCAATGATAAAAATCATTGATGGGCTGCCTCCTGCATACCCCTACTGGGGATCAAGCCTGAAACCTGGGCATGTGCCATGACTGGGAATTGAATCGTGACCTCCTAGTTCATAGATTGACACTCAACCACTGAATCACACTGGCCGGGCATAGATTTAGGTTGTATTTATAAGGAGTGTTTATATGGTCCATGAGCCAGAAAATGACAGTGTCCCATATACAGCTTAGAAGTAATTTCATGTGTTATTTGAAGCAAACATGTCAGCATAGATGATACTTCTTAATCATTTAAAAATATGTAAACTTGCTCTGGCCAGTGTGTTCAGTGGTTTGAGCACCAGCCCACGCACTGAAAAGTCATGGGTTCAATTCCCCATCAAGGGTGTGTACCTGGGTTGCAGGTTCAGTTCCTGTCTCAGTTGGGATGCATGCAGGAGGCAACCAATCTACACTCTCTATCATATTGATGTTTGTCTCTACTTCTCCCTCCCTCCCTTCCACTCTCTAAAAATCCCTGGAAAAAATACCCTCAGGATTAACAGAAAAATAACAATGTGTAAACTTAAGCCCAGTGATAGTGATTTGCTTGGGTGTTATATACTTCTGGGTATTGTCACTTACAGTTAAGGGCCTTTGGGTTTTCCCCCTTTCTCTGTTTCAGTATTAAGTCTTTCACTCTGCTGTCTAGAAATTTTGCTAATAAGGTACTGAAGAATTTGTTGGGAAATCACCCGCACTCTGTATAGCACTGCTTTCTTTGAGACTTCTTTTACAGCACCCCATAAAATCCAAGTGCTAACATTCTGCTGAAATAGATGTAAATAGCCTCTCACTCATCAAAGATGATTTACTGAATCTCTACTGTGCCAGGCATGTTGCTGAGCAATATGGAGGACAGGACTAAGCCAGCCAGTCTCTGTCACAAATAAGTCAACCCAACCACCCAAACAGTGGTTAGAGCTGATAGAGCCACACACGTGGCACTGGGAGAAAGCTCACAGGTCACTGCACTCAGCCAGGGCCGGTGAGGAAAAGCTTCTGGGAGTGACCCTGGCATTGGGTTTTAAAGGAGGGCCAAGAGGGTGTTAGCCCTGAGTTTGGGGAGAAGGAGGAGGGAGGAGAGAACATTTGGAGCAGGGAAAAATCTGTGAGAAGCAGTCAATGCTGGGTAATGTTGCATATAAAATGGTAGAAAGTACCAGAGATCCTATCTAATAAAAGGGTAATATGGCCGAAACCGGTTTGGCTCAGTAGATAGAGCGTCGGCCTGCGGACTGAAAGGTCCCAGGTTCGATTCCGGACAAGGGCATGTACCTTGGGTTGCGGGCACATTCCTAGTAGGAGGTGTGCAAGAGGCAGCTGATCGAGGATTCTCTCATCATTGTTTCTAACTCTATCCCTCTCTCTTCCTCTCTGTAAAAAATCAATAAAATATTTTTTTAAAAAGGGTAATACACAAGTTAACCGTCACTCCATAACAAAGATGGCACCGCAGTCCTCTTAGCCTCACCAGAGTCCCCCAGGCAGCGTGAGCAGCCTGGCAGAATGCTTGCTTCATCGCCATGGCAACAAGGCAAGGTTCTGGCCTGGCCTTAGATGGGCCTCTGGCCAGGCTGGGGCACAGAATGCTTGTGTCATCGCCCCAGCAATGAGGCGAGCGGTCCACGCCCAGCCGCAGATTGGCCTCCGAGCTGCGAGGGCCTTCGGGCAGTGGGCACCGAGCAGCCAGGCCCCAGAGAGCTCCTGGCGCACGGATCCCTGGTCAGGGCTTAGTTTAATTACACAAGCAGTTCCTGGTTTTCTTCCCCTCCCAGCAAACGCCAAGGCTCCTCTTCAGCCTCTCTGTGGTTGGTCAGCGCCCTGTGGCGGGAGAGTGGAGGCAGAAGTGCTGTGTGAGTTTTGGGGGTGACATTTTTCTTGATTTGTCGTGTCCCTTGTATTTTTGTGGCGGTGGTATCACACTGAGGTGGCAGTGATTGTTGGGATTCCTAGCTGAAGGTTTCCTCAGTCTTTTAAAGGGAAGACTTGTTCCACTCGCATCGCTCCCTCTTGTGGCAGAATCCTTCATCTCCTGTCTTATAACTCACCATGCGGACTACTGGAAACCTCATTTTCCAGAGAGTGGTGCTTTAGCTGCAGTTTTTGGTTTCTTCCTGCCCTGCACACCCTGGTCCATTCATCTGAGAACACTGATCACTGGCTCTGCTTTTGCTACCGCACGCAGGGCATGTACAAGGCTCCGGCCACAGAAGGGGAGCAGGTGCGGTTCAGCACTGGGGGTCCTGGGGGTACCCACGCACCCGGTGGGGAGATCGAGTGGGATACTCCGGGGGCTCGTGTGCAGATTTCCGGATGAAGTCCTGAAGAGGTCAGCAGGAACTGTGTTCCCTGAATGCACACTGATGTTATTATCTGCTTCCTTTCCTTTCCTTTTCCTCCCCTCAGTAATGCAGTGCGGCCTCTGCGCTCGGTGCTGCTGGAGGTGGATTTCTCTAGTTCCACCCACACAACCAGGACAGACAGGCCTCCACTCACTGCTCTCCACCTCCTCTCGGGACAGCTTAGTCCCATGCAGCTCGGTGCTGGGTATGTGACTGTCAACAAGACACGGGTTTCCTTGTTATGTCCCTATTCTAAAGTAACTAACACACTCCATCACTTACTTTTACAAAAGTTTAATAGTATTACAAAGGAGAAAACTGTTTTTGCTTGTTGGCTTGAAGACTAGAACTAAATACTATTACACATTTTCATTTATGAACAAAGAAGTTGAAAAGAAAAATGGCATGTTTTGAAAGATACCATTTACCCACAACAATATTTAAAATATTCTGTAATTAGCCTAGCTGGTGTGGCTCGGTGGTTGAACGCAGGCCTATGAACCAGGTGGTCACTGTTCGATTCCTGGTCGGGCCACGTGCTGGGTGGTGGGCTGGATCCACATTGGGGGGCGGGAGGGGTATGGGGGGAGCATGCAGGAGGCAGCCGATCAGTGATTCTCATTATTGATATTTCTATCTTTCTCTCCCTCTCCCTCTCTGAAATCAATAAAACAATTTAAAAATAGTCTATAATTATAAAAAAAGAGGTAAAAGAAAGTGATATTCTTTTATCTTAACTTCTAAAGAACAAGAAAATACTCCAGAAAAAGAGAATTGACTAAAGACTACAGGAATGTGTTTGATGGTATACTGATAAAAACTCAGTTAACAAAAGAGCTTCATGAAATCTTCACTTTGACATTAATGTCTGCTTAAAAGAGGGGCAGGCAGACATTTAAATATTTGGGGAAATGTGGGGTTACAATGAAGGCTTTGTTTGCTCTTACATATTTGTTGTTTTGTTGCTGCTTATATATGCAATTTATAAGGGAAAGGAGCTTTTTAAAGTCTAGTAAAAAGTAGAAATTTTTGGCAATTTTTATTCTTTATTATTAGGCAATGCTTTAATATTAGAAAAAATAAGTTCCCCTATAGCTTTCAATTGATAGTCACAATTTATTTAATAACCATTTCATATTATGGATTTAAGTATTGCATTTTTCTTTAGCAGACTAGTATAAAATGGGACTTATATATGTATTAGCAGGGAATAAAGGTGAACTAATAACCAGTTAATGATTTTCACTTTTAAAAATGCGTTTTAAAGAAATAATATTTCTGTCAAGCCTAAGTGGATGCCTTCATAGCCCAACGAAATGTAATTTAACTCAATTTTTTAAACAAGTTATTAAAGCAAATGTATGATATAAATTAAAATGCAGCTGAATAAGTTCCAAATATACTTATTATTAAATATAAAGATGTCCGCTCTGGTACATAAGAAAATATTTACAACTGATAAAAAGCAGATTGTAGAATATACATGTTCTATGTATAAAAATAAGTAAAATAGTTTATAGTCCAGACCCAGGGATCTTTTCTAAGCAAGGTTTTATCCATGCAACTGTATTACAATACCGTCTCACTAGTATTACTGGACACAGGCATGCATGGAGGAGATCTAACAATAATCTTGATTTAAAGCTCATACTGCCTTTTTAGGGCCTGTACATCTTCTAAAGTAAAATGTTTGTTTGGTGTGCCTGAGAGGTCATCAAAAAGCTGTTCAATTGGCTCCTTTTGGCCCTTGCTAATTAGGGCCAACATCATCTGAAAGAAGGAGAAAAATTATATTAGCATAATACATTAACATGTCAAAGTTACAGAAAGCCTGTAAAATCAGTCTCTCCGATGAGGTACTCTGCCGCTTACCTTAAACCTTTCTGCTTTACTCAGATAGAAAAGATGCTGATATACCAATGAGGGATCCTTATCAACGAGTTCATTTTTCAAAGACTGAATGAGGAGGAGGAATAGATCCCCTTCGAGTTTGTTACTCAGCAAAGCGGGCAGATCTTCCGGCTCCGTGATGGCCAACAGGCGTGCACAGGCTTCTGTATCTTTCCTGGCACTGACAGCGTTCATCAGCTGCCCAAATTCATAGGCATTGTTGGGCTTGGTGATGGGCAGTTTCTCATGGCATTCTGGTGGCCCCTGGCTGATGTCCCCCTCAGAGGCAGGGCAGCCTGTGCAGACCTCCTCGGGGGTCCTTCCAAGCTCTTCATGGCCTTCATTCACCTTCACGAGGAAAAAAAATAACACCCTGACACAATCAGCCGCCACTGCGCACATCCCACGTGACATTTATTAAAATGGGAAGGAACCGAAAAACACAAGTACACTGTATTTAGTCAAGTTCCTTAAGTGAAAATGTGTAGTCTGTAATCAATCATAAAATCTTTTGAGGAAGAGAAGTTTTAAGGTATTAGTTTTCATTCATAAAAGCATTTTTTAAATTTAAAATACTTTTAACATTGAAAAAAATTTAGAATATTTTATTGATTTTTAAAGAGAGAGAAAGGGAGGAGAGAGAGAGAAACATCAATGTGAGAGAGAGCAAAACATTAATTAGTTGCCTCTTGCACTCCCCCTACTGGGCATGTGCAACCCAGGCATGTGCTGGAATCGAACTGGTAACCTCCTGGTGCATGGGATGATGCCCAACCAACTGAACCACACTAGCCAGGGCTTTTTTTTTTAATAATTTTCCATGAATAAAGCTGCTGTATGAAAGAAGACCTATAACTACTTTATCTCTTTTTCATAACTTTTACTTATTTCTGTATATTTAATAGAGAAGTAAACTTTTTTTTTTTTTTCAATTCTCTTAAAAAAAAAAGTTTTCTTCCATCCTTAGAGGAAAAACACTCCCGAACCTCTCACATTTTAGCTCCTTACTCTTAGTGGAAATGTAATATGATATATTAGTATTCCTGAATACACAGGAATTCATGGTTGATATTCTTCCCTGAAGGCAAAGCAGAAAGCTATATAGCACAAGACACCGAGTTCATCTGAAATCAAAGGTAGTCCCAAAAATCTCTGATGAGGCCAGTCTTACAGTGCTAAAAGGTCTGAAACAAACTGGAAAATCTTTATGGCGTGTGGCTTGCCAGGACCAATGAAACAAAATCAGTCCTGTCAGCATTTTCTGGGTCTACCCTGAAGCAAAGCTCAGTGGCCATAGATTGTCCTGGAAGCAATACATAACAGGCCAGGCAGGGAGGGAGTGGGGATAGGGGCAAAGAATGGAAGAACCTAACGCAGACTCCCAATACCGTCCATGGACCAAACCAGGAAGACATGGGCTAATCACCACGGCAAAGGAAAACTTTGTCTTTACAATCGGTTTAAACTTCTTCATTGAGCATCAGTATAAAAAACACAACTAAAAAAAAAAAAAAATTGGGAAAACTCATAGGAATATGACCTTAGAATCCAATATAAGATCCCCAAAAAAGTACTTTGAAAGATAATCAAATGCAAATACCTCTTGAATCTCAATTTTCCTTCTCGCCTTTTCTTTGTTGAGTGATGCGGCCTGGTCCTTCACATTAAGGAATCTGGTCACCTCTTCCAGTTCCATCTGGGCCTCAGCAATACTTGAGTCTAGCCGGAGAACCTTATTGAGATCATCTAAACTACTCTGATAATCCTGAAAGTGGAAGGGCAGAGGAAATCATTTTCACAGGTAACGGGAGCAGGGCACAGATCAGCCTGGGGGGAGGGAGGCGGCGGCGAGGAAGTTGTACAGAGGCACAACAGGCTCCTGTTAGCACCATGATTAGAAAGCTGGGCCCTCAGGGTAACACTTGGGCTAAATTATTATAACCCATAACACAGCGAGCATCTATAATAATAAAGGTGTAATATGCTAATGATACTGGGCTGCCAAATGACCTTCCGGACGAAGCCGGGGCTGGGAGGGTCAAAGCAAGCTACTGTGATTGCCAGGGCTGAGCCCCTTGCATGAATTTTGTGCATTGAGCCTCTAGTCCTATATACTAAAATCCTAATATGTAAATTGTCCCCTCCACCGGGTGTTCGACTGGGAGTTCAGTTGGGGGGAGGGGGAGGATGGGGCCCAGTGGCCAACCTCCCTGGGCCCCTCCCCTCAGCTGGCCGAGCCTCACCCATGCACAAATTTGTGCACTGGGCCTCTCGTCCTCTGTAAAAGACGGCCACACACAAACTGGAGTTAGAAGACTCAGGTTAAACTCTTATCAGCATGATCTTCTGTCCCTAACACACGGTGGGCACATATTGTTGGCTAAATAAATGAAATAATGAACAGCCTCATATTAGCGCCTACTTGCAGTGAAACGTGAACAAGATCCTACTTAACCTTCCTGAGCTTCAGTTTTTCTTATCGTTAAAGTGTGAATAACAGGAGCTTTCCTATTGCAGTTTTCACAAGGCTCGACTAAGTAATAAAATATGAGTTTAAACCTATAAAGGACTAAACAAATGTTAGCTGCTACCAGATTATCTTGTTCCATAAAACCCTTCAAAGTTTTATGCTGTTCACATAGGCCAGAGTTGACATTTATTCTCCCATAAAGAGCCAGACAATACATTGGAGAGTTTGAGGGGAAAGAAATCTAAGCTTACAAAACACAGCATGGAATCTGGTAGTAGAGACATATACCACAAAATCAGTCCGCTGCGACAGGCCACATTCCAGAACTACAGACTAGACGCATAGTTTTTTATTGGTTGGTGCTTTCTAAATTTTTTAAAATATATTTTTAATCATTTCAGAGAGGAAGGGAGAGGGAGAAACATCAATGATGGCAGAGAATCATTGTTTGGCTGCCTCCTGAATTTAAATTTGTGTGTGTGTGTGTGTGTGTGTGTGTGTGTGTGTGTGTGTGTTTTAATCCTCGGCTGATTAAAGTATATTGATTTTAAAAAGAGAGGAAGAGATGGAGAGAGAGAGAGAAGCATCAATGTGAGAGATAAACAATGATTGGTTGCATCACATGTGGGTCCTGACTGCACCCTGATTATGGATCCAACTCACAACCTGGGTATGTGCCCTAACCGGAAATCAAATCTGCGGCCTTTTAGTGACACTCCTACCAACTGAGCCACACTGGCCAGGGAAACCCATGTTTTGGTTAAACCCAAATTAACCCTGTGAGGAGGTGAAGAATCCCAGTGATGTGCAACCTGAGCATTTATGACATAGCCATCACAGCACACGCTGGAGGCTAAGGCACAGGACAGAGAAGCAGTGTTATGTGGCCATCCTGAGGGACTAACTGTAATGCCACATCCCTCCCACCTTAGCCCAGCAACACATTGAAACAAGAGTAATGGAGAGATAAGTTCAAAGGCATAACCTTAAATCTTCTCTAGTTTATCAAAAAGGTAAATTACTTACCAATTATAGCACAGTATGTACTATTTGTAACAAATATACGTACCACTATATCACAACACAGCTGGAACATGCTACCAACAAACCCAGTGCCATTGTGTTTCCAACCTAAATGTTCTAGTCAGAGGCCATCCGGAAAGGCAGAGAGGTGGGGCAGCAGGGCAAGCAGGGGGAGTAATATTGCCAGTGCTTACCATTCTCAGCTTTTTGGGAGTATTGTTATTTACTCTCACAATAGCTCTATGAGTACTAACTTTTACCGTCCCCATGTCATCTTGGGATGATCAAGGCAAGGGCACGGGGTGAGTGGTAACACAGCTGTGGGGCTCAAGGAAGAGAGGCCTGAGAGCTACACAATGAAAGGCCGCCACCACAGGCGTCAGTACGAGCTTTCCCATCCATCCCAGAGGAGTCGGAGCCTGAAGAGCAGACTGGGTGAAGGGGACCTAAGAAGACAGGAAATACGTCTTGATAATGTCACGCCAGAGGCAGGCAAGTGTGACAAGAAGGCAGGACCGCAGGGCGGTAGCATCACGCAGGGAGGCAGAAGAAGACGAAGGGCCAGTCTGCCGGCTCCACAGAGTGGTCGGGCCCGAGAGATGGCCACGGCCACAGCCCTGAGCCAGGAACTGGGAACAGCGTGGGAAAAAGAACAGCTGTGGTCTGGCCCTTGTGGAAACGTACGTCTTAAGAAGGGAAACAAAAAGGAAAAAACAAGTAAGCCCAGCCCAGCCCATGTGGCTCAGTGGTTGAGTGTCGGCCTATGAACCAGGAGGTCATGGTTTGATTCCCGGGCAGGGCACATGTCCAGGTTGTGGACTCAATCCCCAGTAGGGGACGTACAGGAGGCAGCCAATCGATTCATCATTGACATTTCTCTCTCTCTCTCCCAGAAATCAATTAAAATATATATATATATTTTTTTAAAAAGTAAAAAAGAATAAATAAAATGTCATTAATGCAATTAAGAACACCAAAGGTTGAGATGGACACTAGGGAGGGGGAGGGGTCTCCCTCTGACTCAGCTGTCAGAGGGCACAGGGCCTGATGGGAAAGCAGCCTGCAGGGTGGAGGGAAGGAGAAGGTTATACAAAGAGGCGAGTGTGGCTCTGGCAGGAAGAGGACAGTAAAAGCTGCTGCTGATCTCAATTGGCCTTAAAAAAATGAAGTACAATCACATGTGTTTATGGTAACATGTATTATTAGTGCTTAAACTAATGTCAATTGGATATTCCTGAAATCGCATTATGATATAGGCAGATTCCCCCAGCAATAGACGTTGTTTGATGTCTTGGTAACCGTAGCATCACCAACGGGCTGTAAATGCCGCTAGGCAGGCCCCAGGCCTCCCTCACCTCAAGGAACAGATTGTAAGTAGCAGCAAAATGTTCAGTTACCTTTTCTCGCGAAGGACAACTGTGGATTAAGGAAAGGTCTGTGCTTTTCAAAACTGGCACATAGAGAAATGAAAACCCAATTAAAAATAATAAATGGGGAGAGACAGGAGATCCAGGCGGCAGAGTGTCCCCTGAGAGCTCGGGGCACCCGTCACGGTGGCCCCTGTGCCACTTCCCCGTCCCGGCCCCCGAGGAGGCGGCTCCAGGTGTGAGCGACACATTTGGAAACCGCTGAGGCCTGCGCAGAGCTGCAAACAAACCCCTGTGGCACGAAGCTCCGTGCACACCAAGCCATAAGGAGTCAAACCAGAAAAACGAGCTGCCCAATGGGATTACTCAATCTTGGGATTATCTTTCTACATCCATAATGCAATTTCTGGAATTTGCTCCAGGAAGTATGAGATTCTGGTCTTTCATTAGGTACGTCTTTTGACTTCAGTCAGTCAGGTAAACAAGTTCCGAGTCAGGCAGCCAGAATGAGGTCAAGCTGCTGGGGAGTTTGCACATATGTAGACTTGTGCGTCACGCAGATCCACCCTCATGCACCCAAACCCACTGAGCTCAATGAAAGCTGTTCATTTTGAAGAGGCCACTCTAATTCAGGGTGCCACACGCTGCCTAGAAAACCATCAGTGAGGCTTACGTATGAGCGCTGTTAACAAAATGAGAGGGCGTAGGGAGTCAGGGTCACGCAGGCAAGTGTGGGGCTCCATGCTGGTGACTGCATCCTGTGCTAGGAGGGTGGCGCATCCAGCTCCATTCAGACAGAGGCCCCTGGCTCAGGACTTTCCTAGATCCCACCCTATGCACCACCTCTATGTGGCTACAACTGCATTCTTTAAAAAATATAGATAGATGATAGATAGATAGATAGATAGATAGATAGATAGATAGATAGATAGATAGATAGATGATAGAGATAGATATATAGATATATAGATATATAGGTATATAGGTATATAGGTATATAGGTATATAGGTATATAGATATAGATTGATTTCAGAGAGGAAGGGAGAGGGAGAGATAGAAACATCAACGATGAGAAACTCAAAAGCCTCCTGCACAACCCCCTCACTGGGGGTGGAGCTCACAATCAGGGCATGTGCCCAACTAATCTATAGCAGCAGCAATTAGATAAATGGGATGGGTGGGAGGGGGGAGATTAAACACAATGGACAGAAGGAACTTTCTGGAGAGATGGAAATGTTCTCTACCTTAACTGAGGCAGTGGCTACATTGGAATATATATTATTCAGATCAATAGCCAAATTAAGAAAACTGTCCCATTTATAATTGCATCAAAGAGAATAAAATGCCTAGGAATGAATTTAATGAAGCCCTGTATTCCAAAAACTCTTAAGATACTGATAGAAAGATACTCTGGACTCAGATTAAAGACTTGAATGTAAGACTTGGGACCACAACACTAGAATAAAACATAGGCAGTAAGCTTCTTGACTTTGGTGTTGGTGATGATATTTTGGATTTGACACCAGAACCAAAGGCAATAAAGGCAAACACAAACAAGTGGAGCTACATGAAACACAAAAGCTTCTGCGCAGCAAAGAACACCATTAATAAACGACAACCTACTGAGTGGGAGAAAATATTTGCCAATCATATATCTGATAAGGGATTAATGTCCAAAGTAGATTTTAAAAAACAACAACAACTCATACAACTCAATAGCAAAATAACATTGGAATGTGAACTGGTGCAGTACGAAATTTCCTCAAAATCAAAAACACTACTTGTGGGTACATATCCAAAGGAAACAGTCACTGATTCTAAAAGCTATCCCACCGCCATGGTCACTGCAGCGTTATTTACGATAGCCAACAACTGGAAACAGCCGATGCCCACCGATGGAAGAACGGGTAAAGAAAATGCGGTGTATATACACACTGGGATATTATTCAGCCATAAGAAAAGAAGGCAATCCTGACATTTGCAACAACATGGACATTGAGGGCATTGTGCCAAGTGAAATAAGTCATACAAAGGAAGACGATTACTGTCTGACCTCAGTGCTGTGTGGAACAAACAAACGAACACACACCTGAACTAACACAGAGAACAGGTTGTGGGTTGCCAGAGGTGAGGTGAGGGGTGGAGAATAAACACTATGGGCGAGGGTGGTCAAAAGGTACAAACTTCAAATTATAAAATAAATGATTCGGGGTAGGGGGGAGAAGCAATGGTAAGATATGTACACATATAATTTAATAAAAATATAAATGATTCATGAGGGTGTAATGTAGAGTAAGGTGACTGTAGTTAATGATGCTGTAGTATATATGTGATGGTGTTAGGAGAATAGATCTTAAAAGTCCTTAGCACAAGAACAAGATTTGTAACAGTGTGTGGCGATGGGACAGTACAGTGGTCATTTTGCTATATATATGTATCATTATATTGTACACATGAAACAACTATCTTTCAATTAAAAAAAATTGCTGAGAAAGAAATCCAAGATCTGCACATTTACAATGTGTGAATTTCACTGGATTAGACCATAATCAAATTAACTATTAAAAATGCCATTTCATGCCCTAAACCGGTTTGGCTCAGTGGATAGAGTGTCGGCCTGCAGACTGAAGGGTTCCAGGTTCCATTCTGGTCAAGACCATCTACCTTGGTTGCAGGCATATTCCCAGTAGGGAGTGTGCAGGAGGCAGCTGAATCGGTGTCTCTCTCTCATCGATGTTTCTAACTCTCTATCCTTCTCCCTTCCTTTCTGTAAAAATTCAATAATATATATATATATATATTTCTAAAAAGCCATTTCATCCCTAGCTGGTTTAGCTCCATGGATAGAGTGTAAGCCTGCAGACTGAAAGGTCCTGGGTTTGATTCGGTCAGGGGCACATATCTCAGTTGCAGGCTCCTCCTTTCTGGTCTGGGCCCCTGTCAAGGCTCATGCAGGAGGTAACCAATTTTTTCCCCATTTTTTATTAAGGTATTATATGTGTACATATCTTACCATTGCCGCTCCCACCCACACCAATTGATGTGTTTCTCTCACATCGATATTTCTCTCTGTCTTTCCCTCTTTCTTCCTCTCTCTAAAAATCAATGAAAAAATATCCTCAGGCGAGGCTAAATAAATAAATAAATAAATAAAAAGATGACCAGCAGAAAATATAATAGGCCAGGGTTAGTATTTTAAAAATGCCATTTCAGAACGTATCACTTTGTTCTGTACGATCTGATTTTCCCAGGTGATGCAATTTTGGACAAACATGAACGTTCGTTCATGTTTTCCGGCATAAACGAAAGCAGCCCTGGCCGGGAAACTCAGCTGATTAGAGCATCATTCCAGTACCCCAAGGCTGCAGGTTCAAGCCCGCATCGGGACACATGCAGGAAGCAACCAATGGAAGCATAAATGAGTGGAAAAGCACAGTCAGTGTTTCTCTCTCTTTCTCAAATCAACAACAACAAAATTATTAAAAGACCAACACAAAAATAATCCCCAAAGCGCAATTATATAATACTTTCTTTGAAAATATGATTCTCTTATAAAGAATGCCACTCGATAGTCCCATACTAACCACCAGTCAGTTAAGACCCAAATCACCATGAGCTCCCCAATTTCTGAGATGTCTCTACTATCTTCCCTCCCGATGCCTTCCTCCCATCCCAGACAACACCAGTCCTTTGCTGGAGAAATCCAATAGCATTGCTGGTGGCCTGGAGCAAGTCAGTAAAAAAACACACACATTCGTGTCCTTTAAGTAGACTTTTCATAACCATCAACACTCCTTAGAAAATCAGGAAATAATAACTTTTGAGCTGGAAGGAGACTTGGAAATTAATCTAGCTCCTCATTATAATCAGGAGAAAGCTGAGGGCTAGTCCAAGGTTTCAGAACTGGTTAGTATAGAACCGTGGTCAGTAAACTGCGGCTCGCGAGCCACATACGGCTCTTTGGCCCCTTGAGTGTGGCTCTTCCACAAAATACCACGGCCTGGGCGAGTCTATTTTGAAAAAGTGGCGTTAGAAGAAGGTTAAGTTTAAAAAATGTGGCTCTCAGAAGAAATTTCAATCGTCGTCCTGTTGATATTTGGCTCTGTTGACGAATGAGTTTGCCCACCACTGGTATATTATAGAACTAGGATTAAAACCCCAGGATGATCTCACTCCCATTCCTGGATCGCGAGACTGATGTTCGTGAAAACGACCTGATTTGTTCGGAGCCGAGCTTCATGTATTGAAATGAAGAGGCCCTCACCTTGAGTCCTTTATGAGCAAGAGCCCGTCTGTAGCAGGCTTTCACGTTCCCGTCATCGATCCGGAGCGCCTGATCGCAGTCCCGCTTTGCCTCTTCAAACTGGCACAGCTTCAGGTAACAGAGTGCTCTGGTGTAACAATGGAACTCAGAGTTATGAAGGGGAGAGACAATATGTACCTATAAATTTGACCGCTAAGAAAAATCAGAAAAAGGCTCATTAACTATGTCTCTATATACCGCAGCTGTTTTCTCAATTAAAACCCAACACTTAAGTACAATCATGGAATTTTCTTATAACACATGTAATCATGGCACTGGGAATACACTGCAAATAAAATACAGCCCCGGCCCTCAAGGAAGAGACAATTAAAACAAGCAAACATGCCCGGCTGGTTGAGCATCCCATGCACCAGGAGGTTGCCCGTTTGGTTCCTGGGTTGCAGGCTCCATTCCTGGAAGAGGGTGTGCAGGGCGCAGCCCATTAGTGATTTTTCTCTCATGGATGTTTCTCTCTTTCCCTCTCCCCCCCCCCCCCCATCAATAAAAACATATTTTTTTAAAAAATAAAAGCAAGCCGAAACCGGTTTGGCTCAGTGGATAGAGCGTAAGCCTGCGGACTGAAAGGTCCCAGGTTCAATTCCGGTCAAGGACGTGTACGTTGGTTGCGGGCACATCCCCAGTAGGAGGTGTGCAGGAGGCAGCTGATTGATGATTCTCTCTCATCGATGTTTCTAACTCTCTATCCCGCCCCTTCCTACCTGTAAAAAAAAAAAATATATATATATATATATATATATATATATATATATATATATATGACATTTTAAAAATAAATATATATACATATATATAAAAAGACCTTTAAATATATATATATGTGTGTGTGTGTGTGTGTGTGTGTGGCCTTTAATAAATAAATAAATAAATAAAAGCGAACACAATAAAATCTGTAAAGAGTGCTTTGGGAGGACACAGCTGAGAAACCTATTTTAGATCTTGTGGTGCTGAGGAGAGGGCAAGAGCAGCCAGAAGAGACTCCCCAGGAGAAGAGGCATTTAAATGGAAGCCCAGAGTATGAAGTGACGATTATCCAAAGCAAAGGCCCTGGGGTGAGAGTTGAGATGTAGGGAGAGGAGAGCGGAGGCCAAGGGCAGCATGTGCATTTCTATTTATTTATTTTTTAGAGAGAAGAGGGAAAGGGAGAGGGAGAGAGAGAGAAACATTGATGTGAAAGAGAAACATCGACTGATTGCCTCCCATATGCAAACAGACCAGGGATTGAACCCGACACCTGGATATGCACCCTGACCAGGATTTGAACCAGTGACCCTTTGGTGAATGGGCTGATACTCCACTACCGGAGCCACTCCGCATGGGGCAGTATCTGGAACATATCCCATGTTGCCAATGGGATAAGAAAAGTGCCAGGTGGCCTCGTGTAGGGATGAGCTGGAGAGCGGGCAGGCCCGATCACACGGGGCCTGGTAAACTGGGCCGGGGAAGCTGAGCTTTTTCCCCAACTTAACGGGTTTTTAAATAGGGGCTGACATGTTCACCAGGTTTGGAAAGATCCCTCTAGCTGCCACCTGGAGGACGAGGAAGGAGGGAACAAGACGGCAGGCTCACCGGGAAGGGGTTGCAGACAAAAGGCAGTTACAAAAACAAAACAGGGAGAAGTTCAGTTAAAAGAATTCATCTGAAATAGCTGGAAAGCTCACGCTAAGAGTCCCTGTGCTTTAGGAACTATACTTTATGTTTCCTTGTCACCCCAGATCCCACCTACACCCTAAAACTCCCCAGATCACCACAGTCTAGGTAACTATCTTATACCATAATGTGGTGAAGTTGGCACCTGAGCTGCATTTTATTTTTTATTTTTATTTTTTAAAATATATTTTATTGATTTTGTACAGAGAGGAAGGGAGAGAGATAAGAGAGTTAGAAACATCGATGAGAGAGAGTCATCGATGAGCTGCCTCTTGCACACCACTACTGGGGATATACCCGCAACCAAGGTACATGCCCTTGACCGGAATCGAACCCGGGACCTTTCAGTCCCCAAGCCGACGCTCTATCCATTGAGCCAAACCGGTTTTGGCCTGAGCTGCATTTTAGAACAATCTGCCCATTCCTACCGTGCACTAAAGATGCTGACCCCTCCCCTTAGCTCTTCAAGAGAAGGGCATTTAGGACACCAGTTCGAGAGTTGTCCTAGTCCCCCCATGGAGGACAAGCTCTGGCCTGTGGTGCAGTGAGGCCGCAGCCAGGAAGGGTCAGAGGACCCATCCCAGCCGGATGGCCAGACCTCCCGCCCACCACATCCCACGTTTGCAGTCTCTCCAGGACTCCTATCCCCACCCCCACCGCCCACACACCTCTTAGACAAGTTGCTATATAAATGATGATAACCATGGAGAAGGTTAAGTTTAAAACTTTTGTCTCTCAAAAGAAATTTGACAATTTGTCTATATTTTTAAATAAAACATATTGACATAAGAAATAGTTAAAGTTACAAAGAACTACTTGCCTGTTTGTATAAATGGCACATTCCTTATTGTTAATGTGTAAGCACTCGCTGTATTTACTAAGTGCATCTTTATAGTTTCTGTCCTTCACATATTGATTTCCTTCTTCTTTAAGGGTTTTAAACATGTCTTCATCTATGGAATCCCAAAAATAAAAGCAGAGGAAGTGTTTATAGAAGCACCTCCATAAAACCTTCAGTGCAGCTGTAAGGAAATCGATTGCAGATCAGCCTGCCCCGCTTACCATGCGGAGCTAGAGTCTAAAAAGAACAAAACTGTGAACAAATTAGGAAGATAAACCGGCTGTAAGTAGAAGTGGTTATACAATTGTGACACTTTTTTCAAATTGGAAAACGTGTAAAATACAAGTACTTGTGTCATCTTTATCCGTGTTGGCATGCCTTTTCTCTGAGCGACAGGAAGGTCTAGTGTTGCCCTTTTCTCTGACTTCCCTGTGAGCTAAAGCAGCCCCGCTGAGGCTCTCCTGTGGCTTCCACTCTCCTCAGCCCTTCCTTGTCTCACAGAGCCCAGCTTTAACCAATGTGCTTTCCAAAATAAAAATAAAAACCTAGTATTTCATCACATAACTATTTCGTGGAAAATGGACAAACCAACCAACCCACTAAAGCATGAAGTGTAGACATTGGTCCAGTATCCTAAAGTTCTTTGGGAAAATCACACCTCCTCCACTCTTGACTCCTGTGGCTTAAAGCAACCCCTACTCTAGCCCTATCTCTTGGGGTAATCTTTGGGGGGGTTTTTTTGTTTGTTTTTTTATCAACACATTCTATTCCCTCGGCCAAAACAACCTAATTGGTCAGGGTTGGGCCTATGAGAGTCAGTGAGCTGCAATATGATTGTTGTGGCAGCATCTGATAAGGTAATAAAAAAATATACCTTTAAATTCTGTGATCTAAAAATACACCTATCAAATACACCTATCAAATAGGTGTATTGAATTTATAGCATAAACTTGAATGTAAATGATAACCTTATTTGTCCCTCTGTATAAACAGCATAAAGTATTAAGTTCTCACTTTCTTATTTCAAATAACAGAATATTTTTCTAATGTTTCAAGCTTCAAAGGGGTCAAACGACACTCCCCATGAATGCTGGTGTATATAAGCTCTAGAACAAAATAACACGGTATTTTTCCCCCTCAATTTGCTAAAAACCTTCCCTCCAGCTTTTCTCCCAACAAGGTTTGTGAGCCCTCGGTGTCCTTTCTCACTAATGATCAGTGCACCGGGAACAGAACAAATCATACGTGTCCCTATGATTTGCTGTGGCACATCCACAGTACGGTTAGTATATGTCCTTTGTAAATCACAGCCACCCTTCAGTGAGCACATGTGTTGAGCCAGGCCCCATTAAAAATGGACTCCGGAAAAGGAGAGGTCTCTGTGATTTCCCCGGGACTGCTGAGTCACCTAATAGCCTTGGCAGATGGGCCCTGCGTCTTCTTCAAGGCTATAAGAGATGAAGGTCTAACCCTAGCCACTGGGACATCATGGCTCTGCAGCTTCAGAGTTTCTGCGAAATGAACTCAAAATGAACACGGAGAGTTCCTAAGCAGGCAGGAGAAATGAGATCTCAAGTCGCTTTAAAGCAGAAAGCACGAGTGCGGTCCCACTTAGTAAGCACAGCCCAAAGCAACGAGGTAGCTGGACGGCAACGCGGGCACCGTCACAGCTATGCCCTGAGGCAGAAGGAAGTATCTGCTGGATAGTCGTGTAGTCCAGTGTTTTTTTTTTTTTTTTTTTTCAAACACATCCGTCTTAATGGTGTCACAGAGAACTGCACGCTACTTAACTCTTTTCCTTCTTTCTGTGAACATGATGCTAACTTGATCTTTATTGAGGCTACTGTAATCTTACCGTCAGCATGTAAGATTATATCTGCCTATATAATACAGAGATATTTTGTAAGATTTATATGCCTGTAAAATACAGAGATATTTTAGAGGCATATCTCCATTGATTCCTAAGAGGTAGTCGCTCTTGGTAATCCCTATCATAAACACTGGGACAGTGGAGATGTGAAGCAAGTTCTTAAGACTCTGTAGTTAGAAAGAGGATAAAGAGGGCGTAACCCCAGATCTGACGCATAAATGGATGCCCTTATTCTACTGCTCTACTGTGAAAATGTACAGGGCTCCAAGTAACCCTTAAGAGAAATGAGTCCAGACTTCCCCTACCTGTGCTGCCCGGTCGGGGATGGCTGCAGGAATCTCCCACGTGGACTGGGGGCGTCTCTGCTGTAGGCTGCCAAGCTCGCAGCTGCGCGCAAGCGGGCACAGAAGGTATGGGTGGGAGCTTCTCCCGCCAGCGTGGGCCATCCAGATGCATTAAAATTCTTGTTATTCTAAAAAGAGCAAGAGTTTTCTTTATTGATCATGCAATTTGCTTTTCATCTTACCAAAGGTCATATCAAGAGTTAAGATTTACACCATGGCCAGTGTTGCCCAGTAGCTGGAGTACTGGCCCATGCAATAAAGAGTCATGGGTTCGATTTCCCCGTCAAGAGCACATGCCTGTGTTGTGGGTTCACTCCCGGCCCCAGGTTAGGGTGTGAGTGGGAGGCAACCAGTCAGTATGCCTATCTCAAATCTGTGTTTCTCTCTCCTCTCCTCTCTCCCTCCCTTCCACTCTTTCTGAAAAGCAATGAAAAAAAAAAAAAAAATCCTAGGGTAAGGATTAACAAAAACAAAAACAAAGAAAGAAGTAAGATTTACAAATGCTATGCATTCGTGTACTTCCCTGTCCATATAAACTTTTCAAAAGGACTTTTAAAAGTTGCCAAAAACTATGTAACTTTATTTTACTTTTTTTTTTTTAATCCTCACCCAATGATATTTTCCATTGATTTTTAGAAAAAGTGGAAGAGAGAGGGAAATACAGAGAGAAATATTGATGTGAGAGAAACAAATAAATTGGTTGCCTCCTGCATGAGCCCTGGCCAGGGCCCGGGCCAGGGAGGAGCCTACAACCAAGTTATGCACCCTTGACCGGAAATGAACCTAGGATCCTTCAATCCTCAGGCTCTATACACTAAGCCAAACCAGGCTAGGGCCCCCAAATTATGTAACTTTAGATTCTCTTTTATCAAAAAATAAAAATTAAGACATCTGCAATTTGTTTAAAAATTAACATGCAATACCATTTTAATTTTTAAAAAGGTGAGCTATAAAAACAAAATCGAGGAGGCCTAGAAGAAATGTCCCACATAACAAGTAATATGACTACGAAATTGATAATGTGTCATTCCTGAGAATACTCAGAAGCACTAGGGGATTTCTATGCCCAAACTGTAAAGACAGGGGCACAAGACTGGGCTGCCCTGGCGGGACACTCAGAGTGTCATTCCAAGATCATGGGTTCGATCCCTGGTCAGGGAACATACGAGAATCAACCAATGACCGGGCTGGTGTGGGTATCGGCCTATGAACGGAGAGGACCCTGGGCCATTTCCCATTCAGGGCACATGCTTTGTGAACTCAGGAGGGGGTGTGCAGGAGGCAGCAGCTGATCTCTCACCAATGTTTCTATCTCTCTATCCCTCTCCCTTCCTCTCTTAAACCAATCAATAATAAATAAACAAGTAAATAAATAAATAAATAAAGCCTGGGCTAAAACTGTCATGTGGAATATTGCTTTTTCTTAACATATTTACCTGCAATTAAAATACTCTTACCTTGTCTTGTTTTCATCTCTAAAATAACTTGCATATATATATATATATATATATATATATATATATAATAAAGAATAGGGTTCTGGAGTCTATGAGGGTCCTTGTATTAATGACAATTACTAACAGCCATCATGAAATTCCAATTAACATCCCTAATTATCACTCTCATCATTTTTAACATACAAAATATCATGCTTTTATTTAAAAACAAAATAGAATTACATCTTTGGAATGAATCTGGTTTTAAAAGGGTGCTCCTCAAGACGGAAGGTTGGCTAGTAACTAGTAGACTGCATTCAAGTAGTACTTTTTTTTGTGTGAAAAATTTTGTATTTATCGAGACAAATCGCGTACACACAATTTCCCAGTTTTCTAAACTGAAACTTCAATAGCGTTCTTTGGTTATGATAACCAAATATCATATATTTTGGTGTGAAAAGTACATTTGAAGAAGAATGTGTAACCACCCACAACTGCAAAAGAAAAAGAAGCTTTAGAAAATAAGAATTTTCAAGCAAAACTTGTATTACCAGCAGGGAGGAAGGAAGAAGCGGCAGGAAAGAGATGATGTGCTGCCAGGGAGTGAGTAAGTATATGCAGGGAATTTTACATGTAAGATTCCTGGAGAGGAAGAGAGGAATGTGGTTAATGGGAGACAGAAACAAAATAAGCACAAATGCTTCAGTAAATAAAAAAAAAACTGCTGTTGCTTTGGTGGAAAAGCGAGCATAAATATGGGGTTCATGAAAAAGAATGGTGCAAGTTTTAAACGGTATATTTTACTAGAAAAGCATATATGGCAATACCGGACAAGGCTTCCTCATTTCATATAATGATATACCTGCAAGAACCATTCAATTACAAAAATAAATGAGTCTTAAAAGTTAATTTGTAGCCCTAGCTGGTTTGGCTCGGTGGATAGAGCGTAGGTCTGCGGACTGAAGAGTCCTAGGTTCAATTCCAGTCATGGGCACATGCCCAGGTTTGTGGGCTCAGTCCCCGGTAGGAGCCATGCAGGAGGCAGCTGATCAATGATTCTCTCTCATCACTGATGTTTCTAACTCTCTCTCCCTCTCCCCTCCTCTCTGAAATCAATAAAAACATTTTTTTAAAGTTAATTTGTATAAAAGGGCTTCTTGCACACATATAAAAAATATAATGCAATCCTCAAAAAATTAAACAGAATTACCATGTCACCCAGCAATTCCACTCGTAGGTATACAACAAAAGGAGGTAAAAACAGGAACGCAAACAAAAACTTGTACTTGAATGTTCATAGCAGCACTTTTCACAATAGCGAAAAGATGGAAACAACCAAAATGTCCATTGGTGGATGAATGGATAAACAGATGTAACGTATCTATACAATGGAATATTATTCAGCCATCAAAAGGAAGTACCGATATATGCTACACCATAGATGAACCTTAAAAACATTTCCCAAGTGAAAGAAGCCAGACACCAAGGGTTCATATCCTATGATTCCATTTCCATGAACTATCCATGGAGCCAGGAAGGAAACCAGTGTTTGTCAGGGGATGTGAGAAGGGAGAATGAGAATGAGGAGTGAGGAGTTTCCTTTTGGGGTGATGAAATGCTTTAAACTAGTTTGAGATAGCACAACATTGTGAATATACTAGAAAAGTCACTAAATTGCATACTTTAAAATAGTTAATTTTTAACCCTGACCGGTTTGGCTCAATGGACAGAGCGTCAACCTGTAGACTGAAGGGTCCCAGGTTTGATCCCAGTGGGGGGTGTGCAGGAGACAGCTGATCGATGTTTCTCTCCCATCGATGTTTCTAGCTCTCTATCCCTCTCTCTTCCTCTCTGTAAAAAATCAATAAAATACATATTTTAAAAAAAAAGACACAAACAAGTGGAAGCATATACTGAGTTCATGTATTAGACATAATTCCACATCACCCAAAGCAATCTATAGATTCAACACAATCCCTATTGTAATCAAAACAGTCTGATATAACGGATCAATGGAACAGAACAAAGAGCTCAGAAATCAAGCAGAGCCATTACGGTCAATTAACATTTGACAGTGGAGACAAGAGCACACAGTGGGTAAAGACAGTCCCTTCAGTAAGCGGTGCTGGGGAAGCTGGACCAGCAGGTGACAAAAGAAAGAAACTAGACCACCAAGTTACACATACACAAGGATAAACTCAAAATGGATGAGAGTCTTAAATGTAAGTCACGAAGCCGTAAGAATAATAGAAGAAAACACAGGCAGTAAAACCTGACATCCCCCACGCAGAGTTTTTACCCGTCTCCTGGGGCAGGAGACACAAAGAAAAAATAATAACAACCAATTGGGAATACATCAAACTAAAAAGCTTCTGGACAGCAAAAGAAAACCCTCATCAGAATGAAAAGGGAGCCCACTGTATGGGAGAACACATTTCCAAATGATACATCTAATAAAGGTTTAATTTCCAAAACAGATAGAGGACTCAACAAAAAGGAGATAATTCAATCAATATAAGAAAAAACTGGCAAAGAACCTGAGTAGATACTTTTCCAAAGAGGACATACAGATGGCCAAGAGATATATGAAAAATGCTCAGTCACCAGAGAAAAATGCAAAATAGTATCACCTCACACCTGCCAGAATGGTCACCGTTAAGAAATCCACAAGTGCTGGTAAGGATCTGGAGAAAAGGGAGCCCTTGTGCACTGCTGGTGGGAATGCAGACTGGTACAGCCACTATGGAAAACAGGATGGAGTTTCCTCAAAAAATTAAAAATAGAACCGCCTTTTGATGTAGCAATTCCACTTATAGGAATTATATCCCAAGAAATCAGAAACACCCATCAGAAAGAATATATGCACTCCTGTGTTCATAGAAGCGTTATTTACAATAGCTAAGATCTGGAGACAGCCCAAGTGCCCCTCAGTATGAGTGGATAAAAAAGCTGTGGTACAGGCCAGGCCAGTGTGCCCAATGGTTAGAGTATTGGCCCACAAACCAACGGGTTATAGGTTCGATTCCAGGTACCTAGGCTGCAGGTTCAAATCCTGCCCTGGTCAGGGCAAGTACAGGAGGCAACCAATCAATGTGTCTCTTTCATAGCAATGTTTCTCTCTCTTCCCCCTTTTCCTCCCTCCCTTCCACTCTCTGAAAATCAATAGAAAAAATATCCTCGAGTGAGGATTAACAAACAAACAACAACAACAACAAAACTGTGGTACCTTTACACAATGAAATACTATGCAGCTATAAAAAGTTTTTAGCCCTAACCGGTTTGGCTCAGTGGACAGAGCGTCGGCCTGCGGACTCAAGGTTTGATTCCGGTCAAGGCCATGTACCTTGGTTGCGGGCACATACCCAGTAGGGAGTGTGCAGGAGGCAGCTGATCGATGTTTCTCTCTCATTGACTTTTCTAACTCTCTATCCTTCTCTCTTCCTCTCTGTCAAAAATCAATAATATATATATATATTTTTAAAAATAGTTTTTATCCTTTGGACAACATGGATGAGCCTAGAGATTATTATGCTAAGCAAAATAAGCCAGACAACATCACATTATCTCATTTATAAGTCAGATAACATCAATGACCTCATTTATATGTGGAATCTGATGAGCAAAATACACTGACAAACAAAATAGATTCAGAGGCATGGATGCATGGAACAGACGGACAGATCTCAGAGGGAAGGTGGAAGGTGGGGACAAGAACAGATTAACCAAAGAATTTATATGCATAGCCCAGGGACACAGACAATAGGGGTGTGGCCTGGGGTGTGGCTAGGGCTGAGTGGAGGGAGAGAAATGGGGGAAATAAGGGGACATCTGTAATACAGTTCTGTTAACAATAAAAAAAAAATAGAATATTCACTGAATAGTAATAAATGGACCAGGAAACAAATATAAAGTTATTAGAGGCCCTGTCTGGTGTGGATCACCTGGTTGGAGCATCATCCCATACACCAAAACGTGGTGGGTTCAGTTCCCAGTCGGGGCACATACCCAGGTTTCAGGTTCAATCCCCAGGTCAGTCGAGATGCATGTGGGAGGCAACCTATCAATGTTTCTCTCACATCGGACGTTTTCTTTCTCTCGCTATCTCTCTTCCTCTCTCTAAAATGAATTTTTAAAATTGCTAAAAAAGCCAAAACCGGTTTGGCTCAGTGGATTGAGCGTCGGCCTATGGACTGAAAGGTCCCAGGTTCGATTCCGGTCAAGGGCATGTACATTGATTGCGGGCACATCCCCGGAAGGGGTTGTGCAGGAGGCAGCTCTCATCATTGTTTTTAACTCTCTATCCCTCTCCCTTCCTCTCTGTGGAAAAATCAACAAAATATTTTTTTAAAAATTGCTAAAAAAAATTAGTTAAAGGTATCTGAGGACAACTCAGAATGTATTGTGGGATACTTAGAAATTAAGTTGGAAAGAGAATCATTTGGTTTGGATGGAGGGAAAGGCAGCAATCATTCATGTAAAGTCAGTCACAGAACATGCACATGATGTGACACCATTCCTGAAGGAGGGAAAGAAAAAAAAACCCTCATCCCATTATAAAAACATCTAACCCTCAGATCACGTTACCTGTTGATGCTGTCATTCGCTATCTGGATTCCGCAGTCTATCTGCAACACGGTTTTGTAATCCACGTAAGCTTTCTGATACTTCTCTAACGTCTCATGGGCCATTGCTCGCCGAAGAAGCGGTTTAACGGAGAACGGCTGGAGTTCCAGAGCCCTAAGGGACGCAAAAACATTACATGTCGTTTGTTCTCCATGTTACTCTTTAACTTAGACTGACTGAATGTCCACCGCAGTACCGGGCTACATACACACCTACCTGGCATTGCATCGTCACCACCTGGCAACGTACCAGGAAGGCAAACCCCCGAGGAGCAGAGCAATCAAATCTGAGGTCACTTCCTCTCTTCTGAACCAGGACCAAAGCCCTGTGGCATTCCTTTGCTCTCCCCCCCGCTGAGACTGAGCTCCCTGGCAGCACACAGTGAGCCTCACCCGCCTCTACGCCTCTTTCTCTGTCCTTCCCTGCCCTCCCCCCACAGTACCCCCACCCTACCACACCCTCCCGCTCCCCTACATCCCAATAGAGCCCATCATGGCAGCAGGCACAGAGTAGGGTTTCAACAGATTGTTATTGAAGGATTAAAAGGGAACTTTTTATTTGCACCTATGTATTTAATAAGGCACCTTGGCATAAAAACCACAAAAACTTGCATTGCTGTTTGAAAGTCAGCTCTCTAAGACTTAATACAGTTTTTTATTATTCACCTGCTTATAAAGGGCCTCAAAAACAGACCAGAGGTGATCAAGGAGGCATACAATGACTTATTTTTTAATGTATAGTTTTATTTATTTCAGAGAAGAAGGGAAAAGGTGAGAGTTAGAAACATCAATGATGAGAGAGAATCATTGACCAGCCAGCTACCTATTGCATGTCCCCCTCCCCTTCATTGGGGATCAAGCCCAAAACCCAGGCATGTGCCCCGACCCAGAACTGAATCTTGACCTCCGGGTTCATAGGTTGATGCTCAACCACCAAGCTGCACCAGCCAGACATACAATGACTTTTTTAAGCCAGAGATTTTCATCTCGGACTTGTCTATGAAGTATTTTCACTATCACTAGAGATGTATTTCAAAGTTATGTTTCTTGGTTTTGTTTAAAGTAACTGTTTAAAGCTACTTCACTGCTTAATGTAGTTCATGATATTCTGAAATAGAGCATAAAATCAAGACTGTATTGCCCGTCTGGTGTGACTGAGTGTTTGAGCATGGACCAGTAAACCAGAAGGTCACAGTTCAATTCCCGGTCAGGGCACATGCCTAGATTGCAGGCTGGATCCCAGTAGGGGGTGTGTAGGAGGCAGCCAATCAATGATTCTCTCTCATCATTGATGTGTCGGTCTTTCTTATCCCTCTTCCTTCCTCTGTGATAGAAACAAAAATATATATTTTTAAAAAAAACACAACAACAAAAATGAGTTTGAGAATCAATGCTTTGGAGTAAAGTCACCCAGGCCTGAGGTCAGTCATGACCATCAGATCTGGATTTCTAGGCCCAGAAGACAATGTTAACCTAAGGACACCTTACCTAAGCACCTCCCACCTCCATCCCCAGCAGGCCAGCTGTCCTTCAGACAAACCTCCACTCTAAGCCTCCCTGGACACCATGGCTGGAGTCCCATCTTTCACCTCCTCTCGGGTCTACAATGAAACACAAGTTTTAACAAGAAAATGCCTGCCACCTTAACCAATCTCACTTACGAACAACGTGAGCCCAGTTTTTACAGTAGCCCTGTCTGTACGGGTACCGGGTTTTAAAATAAAGAGTCCTAAATTTCACTCACTGGAGGGAATAACTAAGACAAGTCTGAAGGGTAATGTATTAGCAACAGGCACCTACATGGGAAGGATTGAAGGGAAACAAAGTTTTTGACACCCCAAAACCTGTGCCTTTTGAGCTCGGCCGGAGTGGCTCAGTTGACTGAGCACTGTCCTGTGAGAGGTTGCCTGTTTGATTCCTGGTCAGGGCGCATACCTGGGTTGCAGATTCAATTGTTCGGGGCACATACTGAAGACAACAGATAGATGTGTCTGTCTGTCTCTCTTTCCTTTTCTTCCTCTCTCTAAGCATGTCCCGGGGGACAGAGGGTGAAGCCTGGCTGGTGTCGCTCAGTGGTTGAGCATCTAACCATGAACCAGGAGGTCATGGTTTGATCCTGGTCAGAGCACATGGCCAGGTTTCAGCTTGATCCCCAGTGGGGGGCATGTAGGACACAGCCGAATTGATGATTCTCTCTCATCACTGATGTTTCTCTCTCTCTCTCCCTCTCTAAAATCAATAAAACCATATTTTTTTTTTTAAAAAAAAGAAGAAATTGTGCCTTTTGGGATACTGATTTTTAAACTGTCTATTAAGAAAGAAAAGAATTAGAAATGAACCTTTGATCTTTCCCTCCTTTCCTGCCCAGAGATTCAGATAGAAAAACCTGAAAGAAATCTTGCCCATATCCACCTTGGCCTAATTTGAATTAAGTATGGTCGGCAGAGAGGCCTCAGCAGGGGCCTGTTTGCTAGAACCTCTCCTCCACGCCTCCATCTCATTGTTTCTGGGTTGGCTAGCAAATCTTTCCCTGCCATGTGTGTTCCCCTCCTTTCTTTGACAAAAATAACATATATACATATATATATCCCAAATTTTACCTCACTGTCTCTTTGGAATTGTCATGCCTTTGTGAATTCCCCGTGCACATGTATTAAAATGTGATTTTTCTCCTGTTATTACTCCTCTGTTACTTTGACTCTGAGCCCAGCTAGGACACAGAAGGGGGGAGGAAAAGCATTATTATTATGTTAGCCCTCTCGTAGGCTCTTGGCTGCAAACCGCAGTGCGCCTGATGCCCTGCAAATTCACGTGGTTGTGCTGGTTAGTTATGGGCGGTGGTAAATGTTTAACACCCAGCTCTCTTGCGGGAAAGAGCCCAGGTCTGTGGCATTTGCCAGTTTTTATGGTAGCAGTACTGCGCCATGGCAGACTTAGAACTATCCACTTGACTTCAACCAATTCACCAGTTCCTGAAAATGTCACAACAATTAGCTAATGTGAACTAGCACAACAGTGGGTGAGGTCTGAAGTCAGGCCAGACTTGAATATAAATATCTTTTTATATATTTTATGGATTTTTTTTACAGAGGGGAAGGAAGAGAGAAACATCGATGAGAGAGAAACATCTATCAGCCATCTCCTGCACAACCCCTAATGGGGATGTGCCTGCAACCAAGGGACATGCCCTTTGACTGGAAGCGAACCTGGGATCCTCAGGCCACAGGCCAAAGCTCTATCCATTGAGCCAAACCGGTTAGGGTGAAATATAAATATTATTTATTTAAAATTTGAATGTCAAATTGGCAAAAAAAATCTGAGTACCAAGACCTTTAAAAAAAAAAATCCTCATCTAAGGATATACTTAGAGAGAGGAAGAGAGAGAGAGGGAGAGAGAGAAACACTGATTGATTGCTTTCCATACATGCCTTGACCAGGGATGGAACCCGTAACCTGGGCATATGCCCAACTGGGAACCGACTCCTGGGACCTCTTGGGTCAATGGTCAACCAATGAGCCATACCAGCAAAGACCATCTTTTTAAACTGTAGATCTAGCCCTGGCCAGCTGGCCCAGTTGGTTGGAGGATTGTCCTATACATCAAAAGGTTTAGGGTTCGATTCCCAACCAGGACACATAACTATGTTACAGGTTCAATGTTTTTCTCTCACATCAATGTTTCTTTCTCTCCCTTCCTCTCTCTCTAAAATCAATAAACATATCTTCAGGTGAGGATTTAAAAAAAAAAAAAAAAAGGTAGACACAGATACTAACAAGTTTTTACCAATGGCATTAAACTGATACTACCAATGAACAAAATGAATCATTCACCTTATAATCAGGGTATCCACATAAGTTACTATCCAAACTGGGGCTTCTGAGAGTGAAAGGGGGTGATCCAGGAATGTTAAGATCAAACCAGGACATACGAGTTCTTATTTTCTGGATTCACTAATAACAGCTTCTTTCCAAAAGGCTCCTGAGGAAGGCTTAATACTTAACGGTAAAAGAAAACAATACTTTTTATTCGTGAAAATGTGTTTCCTTATTTCAGATGTAACTGGCAGGGCACCCTGGGTGACTGCTGTGCCTGAGGGATGCAGAGCTGTACAAGACATGGCTCCTGGCCTCACAGGGCTTGCCTCGGATGACCCACGTACCCACAGGTGAGAGAGTGACAAAAGGACCAGGGAGACTGCAGGCGAGACCAGGCAGGCAGAGAGGGGCGGTAGCTGAGCAGAAACTTCAGAAGCAAAGGTGTGCGCAGGGCCCACTGAAGACAGTGGGGACCGAATGGGAGCAGAAAGCCTGTTTGGGGAGCAGGATGGTGACAGAGTACTTTGGAATTATCTGGAAGAGCGTGCTGATCTAGTGAACACCTGTTTGAAACAGTTTGAACAAGACAGTTTGAGGGAAAGTTCTGATGCCACCGTGGACTGCGGGGAGGGGGAGGGGGAGGGAGAGAGAGAGAGAGAGAGAAGCAAAAAGTTTCCTCCCTCAGTGTAGGCCTGGCATAAAAAAAAAAAAAAGAGCATGGACGGGGAAAAAAAAGAGAGAGAGAGCATGGATGGTGGCAGTAGAGATTTACAGCATGTGCACCACCTTCTACGCCTGCCTTCCTATGTGTGAAAGAGAGTCTACAGTTTTTCCGTATTAATCCATGAGCACGCCTGATGCCTCCTTCAGAAACGACAGCCACGCAGAAAGCTCAGAAGGGCAGTGAGCTCCTGCATCCCCCGCCCCGGAATGACAGCCACGCCGCCGCTGGACAGACCTGGCCACGGGGCCCTTTACCTGTCACAGTCCTCGATGCAGCCGCTGCAGTTCCCTGCCTTGAGGTAGCACGCCGCTCTGTTCGAATACAGCACACTCAGATCGGCTGCACTTTCGTTTCCTAAAAAAATCACATGCAAGCTAAAATCCATCGGCAGCATCCACTCCTCCCAGAATTGCAGGACTGACGACAGAGGTCCGGGTGGCGCTGCAGGGCTGAGGACTGCTGACCGCGCAGAGCCCCGGGGGCTGGGGACCGTGGGGACCGTGGGGGCCGCCCTGGCCGGCAGGCACCCTGCGCGCCCCACGGTGCGGGCCGCGCCCCTCCCCGGGGTCCCGCCCGCACCGCCCTCGGCCGCGGGGAAGGAATCAGAGACGCCCGCGCCTGTCACTCGGGAGGAGCCCGAGCCTCTCCCCTCCGGGGCCCGTGACGCTCAGCCCGGGGGGGATCCGGGGAGCCCGGAGCGGGCAGAGGGGTGGGGGATCCGGGGAGGCCGGGGCGGGGAGAGGGGTGAGGGATCCGGGGAGCCCGGGGCGGGGAGGGGGGTGGGGGATCCGGGGAGCCCGGGGCGGGGCGGGGGGTGAGGGATCCGGGGAGCCCGGGGCGGGGAGGAGGGTGGGGGATCCGGGGAGCCCGGGGCGGGGAGAGGGGTGGGGGATCCGGGGAGCCCGGGGCGGGGAGAGGGGTCGGGGATCCGGGGAGCCCGGGGCGGGGAGGGGGTCGGGGATCCGGGGAGCCCGGGGAGCGGGCGCAGCGCTCCTACCTGCGGGCTCCAGCTGCGCGATCGCCGCCGCGTACTTGAGCGCCGCCTCGGCGAACTGCCCGGCTCGGAACAGCTCGTTGCCCTGGCCCTTGAGGCCCGCGGGGCCGGCAGGGGCAGCGGGGGCAGCGGGGGCAGCGGGGGCGGGCGGCGGGGCGCCGGGGGCCGGGGACGCGCTGGCCGCCGCGGGGCCCGGGGCGCCTTTGCCTTTGCCTTTGCCGCCCGGGTGCCCGTTGGCGCGGGCGGCGGGGGCCGGGGCCCGCGGGCAGCCCCGCCGCGGCGCGCCCTTGTCCGGCCGCCGGCCCGCCTCGCCTCTGCCCATCATCTTCCGCGGCAGGTTGCCCATGGCGCGCGCGGCGGCCGCGGGCTCGGCGGCCTCTGTGGGGAGAGGATGCGGGAAGCGAGTGTTTGCATCATCGGGACGGACTGCCGGGCCGGCGGGCGGGGTGCCGGGCCGGCGGGCGGGGCGGGGCGGGGAGCCGGGCGCCGCCCTCTCCCGGGCGGAGCCCCGCGGGCCCCGAACCTCCGGCCCGTCCGCCCGCGGGCACCCACTCCTCACCCCCGGGGCTGTCGGGGGGGGGGGGGGTGGACCGAAGCCAACCCCGTATTTAACTCTTTAAACGCGGAAAGGCTTCTGGCTTGCAAACCGGCATTTCAAAATCTTCCCTTCAAAGCCCACGGGCAGAGGCAGGTCTTACAACATAGGCACTTCCCTTCCAGATACAATTTTGGAATGAATGAAGTTCCTAAGACTTGAATACAGTAATTGCACACACACACACACGCACACACACACACACACCGCCCAAGGCTAGGGTACCCTTTCCTTATGTGCAAAGGCTAGGAAATAAAAGATCACTTGGCAGAAAAAAAAATAAAGTCCAAGGGATTTGTAAGTTCACTTTGAAGCGAACTTAGTAAACAAACCACATAAAATAAACGCCTTGTTTTTAAGGTAAGTTTTGGGCCCTGGCAGGTGAGAGGTTGTGGGTCCCATCCCGTCAGGGCACATGCAAAGGAAGCGACCAATGAAGGCATGAATAGCTGGAACAGATTCATGTCCTCTCTTTCTCTTTCCCTTCTCTAAAATCAATAATTTGTTTTAAAACAGTTTTTCATTACAATGATTAAAAAAAAATAGTATATCGTGCTAACGTTATAGAATAGTAAGAAGCTAGGAAATTTCCAAATAGGGAAACTGAGACAGACAGTTAAACAGCAGTTTGCAGCAACCTAGTAAACCCTATTTTCCCTAAACCGAGGACACTAAAGAGTAAATGGTTTCCACATGGCAGGCGTGGCTCAGTGGTTGAGCATCAACCCGTGAACCAGGAGGTCAAGGTCCGATTCCCCCATCAGGGTTCGGGTCTGGGTTTTGGGCTCCATCCCCAGAGTGGGTCGTGCAGGAGGCAGCTGATTATCTCGTATCGTTGATGTTTCTATCTCTCCCTCTCCCTTCCTCTCTCTCCTAAAGCAGTAAAAATATTTAAAAATAAAATAAAACCCCTGAAAATGAAGATGACAGTGCACTCTCCCCAGGGAGCATGCCCCTGCCATTCCCTTCCCCTTCCTCTCCTCCCACCGCCTCCCCCATGTGGGCACATATCCCCTAACCTCTAAGGGACCCCAGGAGACTAGCAACCAGGAGAGCAGAGGGCAGCGGCAGCTCTTCTGGGGCTAACGCCCTGAACCTGTCTCCAAAGCCTCCTTTCCTCTGACTTCCCAGTGAGCTAAGGCAGCCCAGCCAAGGCTCTCCTGTTGCTGCTCCTATACCCTTCCTTGTTTCACACTCCTAAGTATATTTTTGCTGAGGTCAATACATTCTTAACTTGCTTCTCTACACTTTGTTTCTTGATTGAAATCTTTCCCTCAAGAAGACAAGAACCCAGGTCTCTCCCTCTCCCTCCGGAACAGTAGGATGATGAAAGCAAGGCTCCAATCTTGAGCTGATATCTGCTGCTTGAGTCCCTGCCCAGAACAGAAACGGATGGGAGCACAGACCAGCGTCAGCGGTAACAATGGACACCTTACATTATTGCTCATTCCCTGGTATGCTGTCCTCTGGTGTCTGACCAATACTATTACTACATAGCTGCAGTTTATTTAGAACTTTATATGGGCCAAGGCCTTCACATACATTATCATTAATTTTCAGGCCAAATAATAGCATCCCCGCTTTACAGACAAGAGACACCAGAAAGTAGCTGAGGCATTTTGCTCCAAGCACAGAGCGCGAAAAATCCCAGCATAACTGGGATTCGGATGAACTGAACCGAATGCCCTGCCGTGTATCTCTTTCCTTAAGATGGAATGTCCCCGGACAACGTGGCCAGCCTCTGGAAAGGTAAACAGAGGCCAGAACACGAAAGTCCTGTGAGTCCTGCTAGGCGCTGCACTGCCTGTAGGACATTCCAGAGGACTTGTTCAGGAGGTGACTCCAAATGTGGACCAGGGGAGTGGCCCTGTCTAGTAGAGTCATCGACTTGGGAGCTGCTGAATCACTGAAGTTTGAATGTGGCCTGAGTCACTCAGATCAACTCTTAAAAGATGGTCACGGGAAAAAATCTACAGTGGAGATGGAGAGATGTCTAAAGCTGAGAAGAAAATAAATAAATAAACCAGGAGGGCATACCAAGAAGCATGAGTATTTCAGGAAGAAAGGGGTCAGCAATAAATATCAAAGGAAGTTATGGCCAACAGTGTCATTTGCACAGAGACTGAAGAGAAGAGAATCAACAGAACCAGGATTTCAGTAGCCTTAGAGGGCAGTTTGGGTAGTTGGTAGTTGCAAAAATCCTCAACAAAATCCAAGCAAACCAAATCCAGTAGCATATTAAAAGGATTATATGCCATGATCAGTGGGTTTTATCTCAGGAATAGAAGTTCAACAGTAGAAATTAAAAAGATATTTCTTTTTTTAAAAAACATCTTTTGTTGTTATTCTTAATCCTCAAGGATATTTTCCATTGATTTGCATAAACTGTTGTGCAGCAAAGGTTGTAATCAAGAAAGTAAAAAGACCACCCACTGGATGGAAGAAATGACATGTAAATTATCTGATAAGTGTCTACTATCTAAATATATAAACACTTATAAACACTTATTTTATATATATATATATATATATATATATATATATATATATATATATATATATGCCTAAGCAACCATTATGAGCGAAGGATCGGAATGACCAGTCAACCAGTCGCTATGATGCACACTGACCAGGATGGGGCAGACATCCAACACAGGAACTGCCCCATGGTGGTCAGTGCGCTTCTACAGCCAACCTCCCACAGCCAGTCAACCTCCCTGGGTCCCTTCCCATCCCTCCGGCTCTGTCTGGTTGCAGGACCCCAGGCCCAGTTGGCAGCTGGCAGGCCCTGACCGGCCCAGCCCTGATCAGGACTGAGCAAGACGCCTCCAATAGGCCCTGATCGCCAACGAGGCTTAGGGATCCCACCCATGCACAGATCTCGTGCACTGGGCCTCTAGTGCAACAATAAAAAAGGCAAGTAAAATGGCAAAGGGACTTGAACAAACATTTCTCCAAAAAGATATACAAGTGGCTTCTGAACACATGAAAAGATGGTTAACACAATAAATCATTAGAGAAATGCAAACTGAAACCATGAGCAATTACCACCTCACAAACACTAGGATGGCTATAATAAAAAAGGCAAACAAGCCGAAGCCGGTTTGGCTCAGCGGTAGAGCGTCAGTCTGCGGACTGAAAGGTCTCAGGTTCGATTCCGGTCAGGGGCATGTACGTTGGTTGCGGGCACATCCCCGGTTGGGGGGGGGTGCAAGAGGCAGCTGGTCGATGTTTCTCTCTCATCGACCTTTCTAGCTCTCTATCTTTCTCCCTTCTTCTCTATAAAAAATCAATAAAATATATATTTTTTAAAAATTAAAAAAAAAAAAAAAAAGGCAAACAATCACAAGTATTTGCACGAATGTAGAGAAATTGGAATCCTCAGACATGGCCACTGGGAATATAAAATGCTATAACCACTTTGGAAAACAGTCTGCCAGCTCCTCAAGAAGTGAAACATAGAGTTACAGTAATATAACTCAAGCATCTCACTCCTGTACCCAAGAAAATAAAAAACATGCTCACACACAGAAACTTGAATATTCATTAGAAGCATTATTCATAGCCGAAAAGCGGAAGCAACCCAAATGTCCACCACCTGATGAATGGATAAAGAAAACGTGGTATAATCTATGAGGGGCAGTTGGACATGAATAGGTCAAGGACCGTGGAACAGGTACAAAAGGTCACCAGGGCAGAAAGCCCCAGGTGCCTGGCACACAGACAATCCATGGTAGGGTGGGACCTCACCCCCACTTTTCCTCCCCAAGCATATCAATGGCCACTCCGTTTGGAACCCTTGACCTTCCCCCCCCCCTCCGCCTAGAAATAACATCTAGGCCTCACTTGTATTTCAGCTCCAGGCCCAGATAAGCAACAAAACCAGCCTCAGGACCAGCTGCTTTGAATAAAGACCCCCTGCCCTGGTGCCAGGCCAATCCATCTGTGGAGACCACAACCCTTAAAACTGAGGAACAGTCTATTCAAACCTTCCCCTGGGACCACCCCTAAAGACCCCACCCTAAAACCCAGTGCGCTCTCCCTCCAGAGAGCATGCAGGTGCCTTTCCCTTTTCCTCCCTCCTCCCTGCCCCGGGCTCCAAGGGCCCTTCCTTTACCTCCATAACTTGCCTTCCTAAGCCCATCTCTTCTAGGGATTACTTTCTCTACCTCTGTGACTTAACAAACCAATGTTCTCTTACAGTTTGGGTCTGGGCTCTGAATTCTCTTCTAGCCGGAACCCAAGTATCGAGGTTGCTGAATTCAGGTTGGTCTGACCCCCTGGTCAGACACAGGCTGCTGTTCCCGCCGCCGCCGCCTACCACATAATGACTAGCAATTCTTTCTTGGAATGTGGTGGAAAGGGAAACCACCTGCAAAGATTCCAGCTCGATAATCTCCTCTGGACTTTAATATTATTTTCCTACTAGTGACTTGAATTCCTCCTGTCTTGTCCAAGGCTCCAAAACCTCTTTTTACAAGCCATCTGACAATCAAACTTGGTAGAAGCATTAAATAGTTCCAATAATTGTATTTTATTTTAAAAGGATGTCTTTAAAATGGCTCCCAACCTTTTATTCCACCTAATCTTTAAAAAAAAAATTTTTTTTTATTAATTTCAGAGAAGAGAGAGAGAGAGAGAGAGAAACATCAATGAGAATCATTGATCAGCTGCCTCCTGCACGCCCCCTACAGGAGAGCGAGCCCAAAACCTGGGCAGATGCCCTGTCCAGAATCCAACCCGTGGACCCTTCTGTCTGCAGGCTGACAGTCTAGCCACTGAGCCAAACTGGGTAGGCCTATTCCATCTAGTCTTGATTTGCTTTCCTGATAAAAAGGAACTAATTGGTGTTAAAATTTATATTCTCCTTATCAAGAAATTTTGTTTCCTGAATCTTACGTATTTTTAAATATTCCATAATCTACAAAATAATCTGGGACCATGAATGACAAAATCAGAAATGATTCCTGGTCAGGTTTCAGGTTTGATCCCTAGGAAGGGATGTGCAGGAGACAGCCAATTAATGATTCTCTCTCATTATTGATATTTTTATCTCTCCCTCTTCCTTATCCTCTCTTTAAAAAAATTAATGAAAAAAAAATACATTTTAAAAGTTGATAGCTTGGCCAGTGTTGCTCAGTGGTTGAACATTGACCTACGAACTAGGAGATCATGGCTCAATTCCCAGTCAGGGAACATGCCTGGCCTTGATCCCCAGTAGAGGGCAATCTATCAAGGATTCTTTGTCATCATTGATGTTTCTATCTCTCTTTCTCCCTCTCCTTTCCTCTCTGAAATCAATTTAAAATTTTTTAAAAAAAAGAGATAATCAGGAATTAAATTGAGCATTAGAAAACAGTGTCAGGTTAAGATGAAAAATGAGTTTGGGAGATTGTATTAAGAAAAAGATAAGCCCTAGTCAATTTGGCTCAGTGGATAGAGCATCGGCCTGCAGACTGAAGGGTCCCAGGTTCGAGACCAGTCAAGGGCACATGCCTGGGTTGTGGACTCGATCCTCAGTAGGGGGATGCAGACGACAGCCAAGCAATGATTCTCTCTCATCATTGATGTTTCTATCTCTCTCTCCCTCACTGTTCCTCTATGAAGTCAATTTTTAAAAAATATATATTTTAAAAATAAATAAATAAAGGAAAAAGAAAAACGAGCTATATTAAGAAAAAAGATTAAGGAAAAACCTGCTTGTGGATTTACAAGGTAAAGCTATAAAAAGTTTGATAGACTAACTCATCATATAAGTAGTATTTTATATAACCAAAAGAGAAAAAAATGTTTTACTCTTATCTCTGCTGCCATCTTCATGTTTTCTTTCACTGTCCTTCTCACTTTCATCTTCTGAGTTTTCTACTTCCTGAATAACCATCCTTTTCCCCTTCGTTTGAGTCTTAGATGCGGGCGCAGCATTTTTCAGCTCTCTTTCAACCTCTGACAGGGTTTTCTGCAATATAATCACCATATTAAAAAAAAAAAAAAGATGTTTTCCTTTAATAAAAAATAAAACTATTCTTTCAGGCAAGCATATGAAGCTATGAAAAACTGGACAACAATAACTCACTTAAGGCTTTTTATAGTGGTCTGTTGTTTTTCTTTTTCAAACAAGTTTGTTGCTTTGGCTGATTATAATCATACATCATTGTTGTAAAAAAAACTTAAAGCATTAACAAGTATAAAACAAAAAGACAGAAAAAATTATCTGCCACTTAGTATTCTGATGATCATCTTCCTAGATATGTTCATATGCACATATATTAAACATATATTAAACATAGGAAATGCTACCCTCCCCAGTTTGGCTCAGTGTCAGGTTAAGATGAAAAATGAGTTTGGGAGATTGTATGAAGAAAAAGATGAGCCTTAGTCAGTTTGGCTCAGTGGATAGAGCATCGGCCTGTGGACTGAAGGGTCCCAGGTTCGATTCCAGTCAAGGGCATGTACCTTGGAGGCAGCTGATCCATGTCTCTCTCATGGATGTTTCTAACTCTCCCTCTCCCTTCCTCTCTGTGTGCTATAGGGAAATGCTATAGGGAAAAGATGTGTTCCTAAACTGGGCCTTCCATCCAATTCACTGAAATGCTGGCTTGACAAATGCAGCTGATGCACTAGGACCTTTTGCTGCCATTCAGAGACAGATGCCCAGCAGGCGTATGTGGGAAACGGGAACTTCTTGTTGGAATGCAGTGCTCCATGAGCATCTCATCCCTGACTATATTGTGAGCAGAGAAACGAAATGATGTTAGGCTTTCTTTTTAAGGATGTATGCCTTGGGAAATAGAATCTCTCTCTGGGAACTGCCTTGGGAAAGAGAATCTCTCTGAGAAAACAAGGATAATGTCTCCCTCTCACGTGAGGTGGGCAGATTTGCTTATATTCCCTGAGACTTGGGGGATGCCTCCGCTGGGACACAAATGCACTGAGTGTGCGGCATCTGTCTGGGCCTTTCTGTGCTGCCCCCATGAGACTCAGGAGCCAGGGGAACTGACATGAACTTGAAGCTCATCAGCTTGCTAGGCTGCAACCACATCCTTTGTGTCCGACCCAGGAATCTTGTACAGTCCTCTGGGCCAGTGGCCGGCAAACTCATTAGTCAACAGAGGCAATATCAACAGTACGACGATTGAAATTTCTTTTGAGGGTCAAATTTTTTTAAACTTAAATGTCTACAGAGACTGACCCAGGCTGTGGTATTTGGGGGAAGAGCCACACACTCAAGAGGCCAAAGAGCTACATGTGGCTCATGAGCCGCAGTTTGCCACCTTGTTCATTTGCAAGTAGGGTAAAATCTCAGATCCTTCACAGTTCTCAACACTCTCTCTACTCTTCAAGGCCTTCCAACCCTCCCCCCTCCCCCCCCCCCCCCACACACACACCTGCCCGGTGCAGATCTGAGTGAGTCTGTGTCAGGGACGCATGCTTTCCATGCACGTTACAGAGAGAAAGAAACTCTCTCTTATGGCCATCCAGCTCTTGCCTAAGCCCAGGAAATGTATACACGGCTCTGCAGAATGAACTGGAATTCGCTCAAAGAAAACCACTGCCTACAGCACTGCAGGATACACCCACCTTTTGAAGCTGTAACCTAATCCTCAGCATCATAGATCCAGCAAGATTGATGGCACTGTCACATAAACACACAAACAGCCAACCACAGAATTCGGTGAGAGTCACTTCCTGTACTTACTTTGGCCAGCTCGTTATCAGGCTCCACATCCAGCACTTGACGCAAATCGCCCACCGCGTCCTGGAGCTTGTTTTGGTGTTTGTATGTGGTGGCGCGGCGCAGAAGAGCTGAAATGTTACTACAATGAGTTGTTTGTTTTAACATACGGCGTTACGGTGAACAGTGTTTTGAGTGGGAGAACATAAGCAGCACAGACGGTTTAGGATTCGATTGTGCAAAGCTTAATGACGCCCGTTTTCATGTTGTCGCACACACAGAAAATGGTACTGCGGTAAACAAGAGGCTCACGGGGCACCTGTCCCCTCCGACCCCCTGGCCCACCAGCAGCCCCAGGCCCTGCCAGCTCCTCCCGGGGCTGAGAGATTCCACGCTGTGTGACATAGTAGTGGAGGCTTCTCATTAAACAATGTTTGCCTCCTTATAATCACCACGAGCATTATTTCACCACTCTCTGAAAACTGTGAACATCATTTATTCAAACTTAGTATATGACTGACCAGCATCTGACTCAGAATATGGGATCATTAGTGACGTCTTTATAGCAAGTTCTAAAATAACTGGGAGGAGGTATTTCACACGGATAACTGAGAGAATCATGATGATGAAGTCAGATTTCTAGGTTTAAAAATCAAGTACTTTGGTAATTTGCATCAGCTTTTTAAATGTGTTTGAATGTATAAGAATTATTATATCCTGAAAATAAATGCCTTTCTAGTTCCATCATTATCCATTATATACTAAAAGAATTTGTGTAATAAGTCATTATTTTGAAAAGAATCAGGCTTAGTAATTCTGAAAAGTGAGAAATTTATATCTGATATATTTTAATGTGCCAATTTGAAGCATAATTTTGACCAATTTGATGTTAGTTTTAAAATGAACTATTGGAGCCTGGCTGGAGTGGCCCAGTTAGTTGAGCAATGTCCTGTGCACTGAAAGGTTGTCAGTTTGATTCCCGGTCAGGGCACACAAGAAACAACCAATGAGTGCATAAATAAATGGAACAACAAAATTGACGTCTTTCTCTACCTAGGGAGGAAGGACGAACTATGGAAATATAAAGATAAATCATTTTGCTCCTGGCTGGTGTGGCTCAGTGGATTGAGCATTGTCCCATGCACCAAGAGGTTGCTGATTTGAATCCTAATCAGGCCACATTCTGGGTTTACGGGCTGGATCCCCCGTCGGAGGTGAGCAGTAGGCAACCGATCAATAATACTCTCTCATTATTGATGTTTCTACCTCTCTCTCCCTTTCCCTTTCTCTCTGAAATAAATTTTAAAAAATTTTAAAAGAGAGAAAAGTGGATGGTAATGATGACTGCACAACAATACCATTGAACTGTACACTTGAAAAAGATTAAAACAGTAAATGTTATATGTATTTTACAAAGTTTAAAAAAAATGGAAAGAAAAAAAAAAAAAGCCCATAGTTAAATGCAAGCTTGAGATAGTTCTTTAAAAAAAAAAAAACCACATATATTTTATTGACTCTTCTGAAATCATCGGCTACTTCAATGCAAATAATCAGGGACTGAAATTCCAAGTTAAACTTGAAATTAAAAGTAACTTTTGAAGACAATGATTCCATATAGGAATCTGAGTTTATTTGACATACGTTTGGTGTAAACACAATGAGTGCCTACAAAGAGTCTTTACGGGTCCTGCTGTAAATTTAAAAGCATCCCTTGCCGAAACCGGTTTGGCTCAGCGGTAGAGCGTCGGTCTGCGGACTGAAAGGTCCCAGGTTCGATTCCGGTCAAGGGCATGTACATTGGTTGCGGGCACATCCCTGGTAGGGGGGGTGCAAGAGACAGCTGGTCGATGTTTCTCTCTCATGGACGTTTCTAGCTCTCTATCCCTCTCTCCTCCTCTCTGAAAAAATCAATAAAATATATTTTTTAAAAATTAATTAATTAAATAAAAGCATCCCTTATGAACATGTCTTACCTTTTACGTTTCCAGGCTCTAACTCCAAGACCTTTTCACAATCCTGAAAAGCACTGTTCCAGTTCTGTAGTTTGAGCTCGGCCTGAGCTCGATTATTATGGGCTGCTATAGTGGGAAGCACGGATATGCTCCTATGGAAGAATCACTCATTGGCAACGAGCAGACCAGTGGTAAATACGCGAAGACAGAGAAATTCAGCTTAAGTTAAAGCAGAGTTGTAGACACAGAGAACAGACTGGTAGTTTGCCAGGGAGGAAGGTGTTGGGGGACTGAGGGAAAAGGTTAGGACAGTTATAAAACAGTCATGGGGACATAACACACAGCATAGGGAATATAGGCAATGACAATGTAAGGTGTCAAGTGGGTACTGGTCATATTAGGGGAACAACTGGGATGTATATGATTGTCTAGCCACTATGCTTTATACCTGAAATCAATACAAAATCATACTGAAACAGAAGTGAATTTATGATAAACTACAGTATCTTGAGACTGACATGAGCCATTTAGCTTATTTATATCCTTTCAATAATTAAATTTAAATGCTGCCATTTTTTAAAAATAGCAAGTTTAAGCCGCACAAAAATCTGCTCACCTTGTATAATATTTCACTGCCTCTTCGTAATCTCCCGACTTGAAAGCTTCATTTCCTTTCTCCTTTTCACGAGTAGCAAGACAATCCTTCTCCTTCTCAGTCAGACCTAGAAACAAATGGCACCTACTTTAAGTAAGAATATAATTTAATAGAATGTTTACAAAATTTTCAATCCAAGAATGCTTATTTTAATAGAAGCAGAAAACTGTAAATAATTAAAAGAAATGATTTCCTAACTTTAGTAATGTTTCTTTTCTTCTTTCTAATCATTTACAATTTTTGAGGGTTTCCATATTTTAGGGCTGGTTTTGTTTCTCTTTAAAGGTACTATATGCCTATTGAGTTCAAATGAGCACAAACTGCTCCATCATTTTGTTTGAAGCAAAATAAATAAATAAATAAATAAATTTGAAGGATTTGAAGGAAAAAGAGGATTAAAAAAAAAAAGAAATGGAAAACAAATTAATTACAGTAAAAAAATGGTTTGTATTTTTAAGTTTTACTGAAATTTAAGAAGTTTAACTGTTATTTATATAAAATTAAATAAAGAATAGATTTGAATTTGTTAGAAGTGGTCAACTTTAGGAGAAAATGCATAATCTTGTCATAAAAACCTATAGCATTGAAAGAGAAAGCCTTTGCCAACTGGTTTGACTCAGTGGATAAAGTATTGGCCCATGGAGGGTCCCGGGTTCAATTCCAGTCAAGGGCATGTATCTGGGTTGTATAGGCTTGATCCCAGTGTAGGAGGCAACCACTTAAAAAAAGAGAGAGAAAGGGAATGTTCTCTAGCTTGACAGTTTTTATTGTAATTTTAAAAACTTAAAGACTACTAAATTATTCTTATATTTTCCCAATTACCTGCCGTCTCTAATCTTGTCTCAATTTTAGACAAATGTGACTTGTTGTCTATTAGAGTTTTTTCTTTGCCATCTTCATCAATTTTTGAACATTCCTTTTCCACATCAAATCTTAAAAGAAAGAATAAAGACAAAAAAGTACAATACAATAAAATATAATAATGATATTCTTGTATTTGTATCACCATGCCTTTAAACACATATTCCAAAAATGCATAATAGTTTATATTACAAGTTTTCTGTATTCTTTCTTATTAACCATGTAATTTAGTGAGAACTTAAACATTAATCAGATCTAAACTATTTAGATTTTTGTAATTAAAATTGTGACACCTTTCTCGCAATTTAAATATTTTTAACTCTTAATTTAATTTTACTTTTTTATAATATACAAAGTAAATCAGTCTCTGTGGTCTCCACTTTCTGTCTTCAGATATCAGGGTTCTCTCCTGCGAGTTACCATTGATTATTCAAGATGTTTTTTTTTGTATTTTAGTTGTAATTCCAGTTTGATCCTGGGTGCATGTCTGTGCAGCATCCATGTACTATGCCACCATTTTAATCTCTCGATTTAAAATTTTTGTTCTTATTTAATGAAAAACAAGATCAAGAGTGCTTAGACTATTTACTCTGAGAACTCTGCTGAAATACCTTGCTATTCTTAATGTTCAGTTTATAATAATTAAGAACTTATTACAGTATTTTGTGGTAGAGAAATTTTCAGTGATAAATTTTACATAAAAAAAAAACATACTTATCCCACTCTGCATAATCCCTTGGAATTTTCTTTTTAGCTGATCTACTTTTAGAATGTTTTCCCTAAAATAATAAAAAAAAAAACATGCTTTATGAGACATACTTAATATAAGATTAGCAGGTTTTATTATAAATGCAATGTGAAGAACAGGTTTAATAAGAAAACTGAATGAATAAGAAAAATACGTACCCTTTAAGCTATAACAAATCTAGTATTAAAATTATTAAAAGTGCTTTAAAAGTGTTTTAAATTTGTAGTTAATTCTCCTAGCAGGTGTGGCTCAGTGGTTGAGCATCAATCTTTAGACCCAGAGGTCACTGTTGGATTCCAGGTTAGGACACATGCCTGGTTGCAGGCTTCATCCCCAGTAAGGGGCATGCAAGAGGCAGCCGATCAATGATTCTCTCTCATCATTGATACCTCTCTCTCTCTCTCTCTCTCTCTCTCTCTCTCTCTCTCTCTCTCTCTCTCTCTTCCTTCCTCTCTGAAATCAATAAAAAATATTTTTTTAAAAATTGTAGTTAATTCTCAGAGCAATCTACAGGACTTTAAGCACATACATAAAATTTTTTAAAATCACGTGTGAAATATGATTATTTGTGATTTTCTTATAGTAAAAAAGTAATAAATTATCATTCTTTTAGAACCTAGGCATTGGAGAATATTTTGCTATATTACTCAAAGCTGGTTTGTTTGCAATAACAGACACCCAGCTTGGACTAACTGTATTTAAAAAGAATAAATTACTGGCTTATGTAACCAAACTGATGAAAGGCAGGGCAGGGATATTGCTGGATGAAAGAGTCATATGGTCTCTCTCCAATTCTCCCTTTCCCCACTCCACACCCCTTTCCTCATCTCTGCTTCTCTCTGCCTACTGATTTTGTTTCCCTGCTGGCTACTTGCTTTCTCCATGTAGTAGGAAACATGGCCACAAACAACTTGGGGTTATAAGCTCACAGGCCTCCCAATCAGAAAGGAAAAGGACTCTTCTCTCCATCTTTAGAGACATCCCAGGAAAGGATTCTGATTGGCTAGCTTAGGTCATGCGCCCATCCCTGACCAAGCACTAGCTTGGTGCTAGTAAGTGGCCCAACCTCAGTCACACGCCCAATGGAAGCACCAGAGGGAGTGGGAGAGAAGCAAACAATAGCCATTATGTGCACAAATACTTTCTGGAATTATTTCTTAGAGGTTAGTCATAATCTGAAGCCATTTTGAGCAGTTTTGTAACATTGTGCATTGCTCAGATGGAGGTAAGCAGATCTTTCAAATATTCATATATTTCATCATACAATAAAAAAAAAACCCCATATCTGTTAATATCTTCGTGAAGCTCATCAGAAAAGTCTGAGTACGGGAATTTTTTTTTGTCACAGACAGCAGGTATTTAAGAGCCACATAGAATGTGAAATACTCGAGATTATACTTAAAAGCTCAGGTATTATCACTGGCAAAAAGCACTGTCAGTTAAAGTGACAGGCCCACTTTGTTCATTTTCAACGCATTGTCTGCCATAAAACCAAGTCTGAATGATCATACATTTCTGGAGAAAAATTTATTCCAGAAAAAAGTGGCAACTGAAGCTGCCAATTCAATCACACAAATGCTTTTCTTGAGATAACAATCATAGTTCACTTCACAGTGAAATGCTTTCTGCATGCTTCCCATTTTAACATTCAGAATATTAAAAATATGTGTCCTTTCTTTCTCCCTGCCTTCCACTCTCTTAAAAAAAAATCAATGAAAAAATACCGTTGGGTGAGGATTGATAGATAGATAAACAAACAAACAAACAAACAAATATATAAATAAATAAATAAATAAATAAATAAATAAATAAATAAATAAATAAATAAATAAATAATGGCCTTGACCAGCCAGAGTGGTTGAGTTATGAACCAGAAGGTCATGGTTCAATATTTGGTCAGGGCACTTGCCCAGTTGTAAGCTCGATCCCCAGTGTGGGTATGGGAGAGGCAGCCAATTCTCTTTCATCATTGATGTTTCTATCTCTCTCTCCCTCAACCTTCCTCCTAAAATAAAGTAAAAAAAAAAAAAAAAAAAAAAAAAAAAAAAAAAAAAAAAAAATCAAACAAAACAAAACATACACACAAAGAAAAAACCTGGTCAGAATAGAAGAGACTGAACAGCAAAAGAAAAATGAAGAAAGGCAGTTAATCTAAGATGCAAGTCTTCAAAAGAAAAGGCTGTTCCATTTTGATTCATCAGTTGATGAACAATGGTCTACTCTTGAAGGTTACAGCACATGACCAGCTGAAAAACCTCTGCTCTCCTAGACCACGTCGCCCTTTGGCTGCACTGATTAACCTGAGCCAGCTCTCCTCACACACAACCACCGTCTTCCCCCGCCCACCTCACCACCCACCCAAACGCCTACTTTGCCAACATGAAGACAGCTGTTTGAACCACGAATAGGAGGCAGGTTTTCTTCCTTTGCTGGAAATGTTTCAGTTTCATGAAAATATATTTTACTTTCTTCTTTTTTAATTTCTGTTACCCAATTCTGAAGGAAAAAAGGGAGGAAAAAGAAGGTAATTATACGATTTTAAGTAATTAGAAAAGACTATCCATCCTCAAAATTTCCTATGGGTAGGTCAATTTTTTAGGTGACAGTTTGGTCATGCCATTCTCTCTACGTGGAATGCCCTTCTGACTCTTTTTTTTTTATTTGGGGGAAAATACACATATCATAAAATTTATCATATTTACCATTTTTAAGTGTACAGTTCAGAATTATTAAGTAAATTCATATTGTTGTTGGCCTTCCTACTTTTCATTATCTTGCAAGATCCTCTTTACCACTTCTCCCAGTAAGCTTTCCCTGAGCTTCCAGGTTGGGCTAAAAATGTCCTTCCTCCATGTATTAGCCTAATAGTTTAAATAATCTATTAGTGTTCATCCCTCTCACCACACTGCAAAATCCTTGAAGGCAGAGACTATGTCTTAATCTCATTTTTGTGATTCAAGAAGGTAGCAGAGTGTCTGGCATATAACCGGTTCACAATATTGTTCATTAACATTGAAAATTATTGTGTTCAATAATATCACTGGCCTGGCTCAGTGGTTGAGCATTGACCCAGGAACCTGGAGGTCACGGATTGATTCCAGTCAGGGCACAAGCCCAGATTGTAGGTTTGATCCCTAGCGGAGTTGTGCAGGAGGCAGCCGAGCCATGATTCTCTCTTATCATTGTTGTTTCTATCTCTCTCCCCCTTACTTTCTGAAATAAATAAAATATATTAAAAAGAAAAAATAAATAAACTAAATTGTCACTGGTACCAGGAAAAAACTGAGTAGTACGTTTCTTTATTGTTTGTGAAATTCTATTATTTCTTATTCATCAAATATATAGTGAAGGTGTAATATTTGTTAGACATTCCTAAAATAGGCACTGGGATATAGAAATAAACTCTATTACCTGTCCTATTTGTATAGAAGGCATGGGGGCAAACAAGAAAAGAATAAAAACACAGTAAGGGAAGAAAGGGAAGAAGAAGAGAGGAGGAATTGCAGAAGAGAGAAAGGAGTGAGAGAGAATAGGGAATGCAGGAGAAGTAGCAAGGAAAATATGAAAGAAAGGGGGATGAGAAGGAGACTGACTTAAAAAAGTGAGCTGAAAGAATATACAGTTGGGGTAAAAGCAGGCTCTGCAACTAAAACCAAGAGGTTTTGCCCTGGCCGGTGTGGCTCTGTTGGTTGGGTGTCACCCTATGCACTGAAAGGTTTTGGGTTTGAGGCATGCAAGAGGCAGCCAATCGATGTTATGCTCTCACATCAATCTTTCTCTCTCTCTCACTATTCCTTCTTCTTTCTCTAAAAATCAATGAGCTATTAAAAAAAAAAAAAAAGAGGTTTTATCCCCCAAAATAAAGTCAAAGAACTCTAAACATAAACCACTATTTTAACCATATTAATAACCAGATTTTCAAATTCAAGTCAATAAAATGGTAAAATGAGAAAGCTGAGGAAAGTTTTTAAAAACATACCATTCTAAACCCAGCCAGTATGGCTCAGTGGTTGAGGGCTGACCGATGGACCAGGAGGTATGGGTTCGATTCCCAGTCAAGGCACGTGCCCAGGTTGCGGGCATTGATTCCCAATAGAGGGCATGCAGGAGTCAACCAAGCTATGATTCTCTCTCATCATCAATATTTCTATTTCTCTCTCCTCCTCCTCCCTTCCTCTATGAAATCAATAAAAAATTTTATTTTTTAGCCTTTGGATGACAAAAAAGAAACCCAGAATTTTGGGTAAGTGAAGCAGACATATATACCACATGACAATGTCACAAAAACAGGGGTTGACCTATACCTTTATATCGCCATCAATTTTCTCCCATTCCCTCGCTGAAAAGCTGGATTCTGTGGCTACAGGCTTGTCTTTCCTCAAGGCCCTACTATGAGGAGCCAATCCTTGAAGGCGCTTTTCACAACACTCTGTAAGTTCAGGATAATATCCTTCCTCTCCAGACCTTAAAAAAACAGGACAGAACTTTAGAGATCTGTTTAGAGACCAGTTAGACCAGTGATTCATATTTCCATTTCAGAAATGATGAGGTTGTGACATCAACTCTGGCCGGGGATGAGCAGGGCTGCCTAGGGAGGACAGGACAGCGAAGGTAACGAGAGAGAACAAGCCAAGGACTCAGCGGGCTCCGGGGGAGAAAACAGAGCCACCGCAGAGGAATACTATGGATGCCTCGCTCCACAAGTGCTCCTGCAACATCAGGCTCCTCTCCATGGGAAAAGCCCTCAAGAAACTTGAAATACGTGGCCCAGGACAATGTTTCTCAAAGTGGGTTCCCTTGACCCCCTGCATGTCAATTAACGAGGCACTTGTTAAAAACACAGATTCTAAACAAAAACAAAAACAAAACAAAACAAAACAAAACAAAACAAAAAATAAAAATACACACAGACTCCTGGGTCCCACCCCAGATTTCCCAAAGAAGAATTTCTGGGAATGGTACCCTCAAATTTGCATTTTTATCAACCACATGTACATTAACGTTTAAGAATCACCATCATAGGGTTCTTAACCAGAGAAGGCCCTGATTCCCTGCCTCCTGTTCCTGCCTCCGGGCTGGCTTCCCCACCATCCTCCCAGTGACCAGCCCACAGAGTCACCAGATGGCATTAAATGGGAGAGTGCCAAATTACCTTATCAGCGTAGGCCCGTGAGCTACCTTACATCCTACGGGCTACTCTCACGGTTGCTTTTTCCTAGACAATGTGAAGAGAGCAAGAAAAATGCCCTCTTCAAAACTAATTAGCCTCCATTGCATGCTGGGAGTAGACCCAGCCAGACCACTCCAAACTAACGACAGGATCAAAACAGCTATTTTGGAACCTGATATGGAAGAATACAACAAGCAATATCAAATCTTGAACATGCCTTCCAAGGTTTCTAATGCAGCGTCAGCTTTTAGAAGGCAAGAACAATATAATTAACATCAACAAACTGAAACTTGAAGTGATTTTTAATTGCTTACCTAAGCACACAAAGAATTTTTTCCAAATGCTTAACGTCTGAACATTTTTCAATGTACTTGAAATCCAAATGTTCAACAGGAATTTTGAATGTTTTTGTTGTTCCAAAGCCCAACAATGGTGGACAATCTTTGGCAGTCATGGCTGAAATATAGTACAGGAAAACAGTTATGAATCTAATATATATATATATAATACGCAATTTGGATAGCAATAACCATCTAGATACTTCTTTAATAATTATGTTTTATTTCTAGAGAAAAGGAGGGAGGTTACTGATCTTAAACTCTCTCTCCCTGATAATGACAACTAACATTCAGAGAGCTAAATTGCTATGTACCATATGTGGATTATCTCACTTGATCTTCACTTATGTGATGTTGAAATTCAATGACTAAGCAAGGATACTTTTCCAAAGAGTTTTAGAGAGTGGGAGGCATGGAGGGGGACAGAGAAAGAGAGAGACACATGGATTGGTTGCCTCCATCAGGCACCCCTACTGGGGCTGAGGATCAAACCCACAAATGAGATAAGATGCCCTTGACCCGGAATCAAACCTGAGACCCTTTGGTCCTCGAGCCAACAGTCTAACAACTGAGCAAAACAGGCCAGGGCATACCCGTGATTTTAAAATTGCAAGTGGCAACCCATGAAATCAATTTAGTGAGTTTCAATATATTGAGATAGAACATCTCATTAAAAGTAATAATGTTTTTGCAAAACTTTTACTTCATGTCTATACTAACAAAAATTATAAAGATGTGTACAGCCTTGGCTAAGTTGGTTGAGTGTCCCACTGTGTACCAAAAGGTCACCAGTTTCATTCTGGGTCAGGGCACATACCCAGGTTATGGGCATGATCCACAGTCAGGCTGCAGGCAGGAGACAATCCACCTTTCCCTCCCTCTATCTCTGAAATAAATTAAAAATGTATTTTAAAGAAGATGTGGCCTGGCTGATATGGTTAGGGTTCAATTCCTGGTTGGGGTTCATGCCCAGGTTGAAAGCTGATCCCCAATGGGGGGTGTGCAGGAGGCAGCCGATACATTAATCTCTTTCATCATTGATGTTTCGCTCTATCCCTCTCTTTTCCTCTCTGAAAGCAATACTTTTTTAAAAAAATCATTGCCCTAAAGTATATTGGGTGATAAACCTATAATAATAAAAGCATAATATGCTCATTTAACAGGATGTCCTTCCAGAAGAAGCCAGAGCTGCAAGGGAAGCCTGGATCCAGAGGGAAGCCGGAGCTGGCAGCCAGGGGAAGGAAGGCCTACTCTTGCACGAATTTTGTGCATCGAGCCTCTAGTTTAAAAATATAAGTAGCAGCAGTGGACCTAATTCATTTGAAGTGTTTCCTTCAGCATGCCTGCCCTCTGGGGGTCTAGTCATAGAGCAGACCTCTGCAGAAGAAGAAAACGCTCTGTCAGCTTCACCTCCATCTTCCTGCTGGCTTTCACTTGGGTATAGAATACAGATAACAGCTCGTCAGCATTTGGATGAGATACGGCTGAGAAAGGAGATTATGGCTTTTATGCCCTGCCAGGAGGGTCCAGTATGACGAATGTCTCCCATCACAATGTAACTATAAGGGTGCAACATAAAGAATTTTTAAGTTATTGATGTTGCCCACAATAGATGGTTTGTCTTAGGAAAATTCGCCAGAGCTGGAGGATCTTTAATGGGAGAGGTTTAAGCATCTATTAGGATTAAAATAGTTTACCTTAAGTTGAAGATATCTTGCAACAACCCCTGAGATTTTATTATTTGAATGAAATATAGTGGGAAACATGTGACGTGATAGACATCTCTTACCTAACCAGATAAATTTCATTCTGAACACTGTTTTAACATCTCTGACCATTCTTTTTGAAAACTACCACTGTTGGTAGGATGCACATCCTTAAGATCACAAAATATTAACTCTCAAGTTCTAAAATACAACTTATACAAAACTTTATTTGCTCTCTTAAAAAAATAGTTTTTTTTTTTTTTTTTTCCTTATTTCAGAGAAGGGAGAGGGGATAGAAACATCGATGATCGGCTGGCTTTTGCACGCCCCCTCCTGGAGGCCGAGCCCGCAACCTGGGCATGTGCCCTGACCGGGTTCATAGGTCCGCGCTGAGCCACTGAACCACACCGCGGGCTTATCTGCTCTCTTTAAACCTCTTCCACATCTGTTTGAATTTTTGCTTCAGATTAGGAAAACCGTTTTTCTTCCGCCATCCTGATCCAGAACCCACTTCCTGTATTTCCTTCTCAGCTTACCGTATTACCTCCCGTGGAAACTGCGATGCTCTAGGAACACGAAGACCTGTGTTCTTCCCGCGTCAGCATCTTTGGAGCATCCTCTGGGCCGAGCGCCCTCTGCTGCCAGAGGCCCAGAGGAAGTGACAACCTCCCGCCATAGCAACGGTTTCTATGTACAACGCAGCGCGAGAGGGCGGAGGGGCGGGCCGCGATCCGCGAGCTCTGACAGCCAACCGGCAACGGTCAGGGGCGCATTAGGACCCTACCTACCAACTGTCCCCCACTCCCAGGGTTTGGTCACCGGGAACCCCCGTGCTGCGACCTCGCCCCAACATCCGCGGAAACAAAAGGCCCCCGGGTTTGTGTAATCCCCGACCGGGAAGGATGTGCAAGCCCCAAGGCGCCCCTCACTCCAGCCCACAGCGCATTGGCCCCTCCGCGCCGCCCTGCACCCGGCGCAGAGGGGGGACTAGGATGGGGGTACGGGATTTACTCCTGGAGGGCAGGTACTCACCTGGCTCTTAGAACCCCGCGCCCAGCAAACCGGACCGGCTGCGCTGCGGTTGCAGGGAAGGGCTTGTAGAAACGCTGGAGTCAAGTGCAAGGACAATCCCCAGGGGCGGGGATGAGGCTAGTCCTGCCTGATGATTGGCTAGTCCCCTGCCTACCCACCCCGCTGATTGGCGTTATAGAAGTCAGCTTCAGGAAAGAGGACCATTGGGAGGGTGGGAGTTTCCTTTTCTCTCCTTTTCAATCAGTTTCAAAATTCTGATGCAGGTGAAGAACACCAAGAAAGGTCATTTCAGGCAGAGAGAAGCCTGGGGAAAAGGACAGGCCGGAAAGAAAAAAGGCCTCTTCCCTCTTTAAGGAACTGCAAACATCTTAGAACCAAAAGAGTGAGAGGTGGGTTGAAGTGGTGACAGAGCTAAGAGTTGGATTATCAAGGACTAAGCACAGTATTCCAAATCATTTTTTATTTTAGCAAAACGGGGAACTACTGAGGATTTCCAGCAGGATGCTATCATGAAATCTGTATTCTTGAAAGAGACATTTGAAGGGCCTGGAGAAGGACATGCATGTCTAAGGAAGCAGCTTAGTAGGGAACAAGTTACGTGTGAACTTCAAGCCCAGACTTATATATATTTTTTATTGATTAATTTTTTACAGAGAGGAAGGGAGAGTATATATAGTTAGAAACGTTGATCAGCTGCTTCCTGCACACCTGCTACTGGGAATGTGCCCGCAACCAAGGTACATGCCCCTGACCAGAATCGAACCTGGGACCCTTCAGTCCGCAGGCTGATGCTCTATCCACTGAGCCAACCCGGTTTTGGACAGACTTTTATATTTACAGAGCACTATTCAAAAGAATTTTTTAAAGCAATTTTTAATTTATCATATCATTTTTTCCTTTAAACTGTCCAGATAGGCAAGAGGTAAATTTACTTCCATTTTATAGATGAAGACACAAAGAGGGAAATAGCAGACTGAAATGGTGAGTTCCAGTGGTAATACTTTCTCCATTAAACATCAGTCTAGTTAACCAAGTAACAATATTCAATTAAATTACTGATAGGAAAGAGACCAATGATGGAATCAGAACATTAAGAGCAACATTATCCAATGAGCTGGGATTGTTCATAAAGAGATATCTCATTTGTTGGGACTCCTGTCTAAAAAACACAAGGTCAAGAAGGAATATAGCAGAATTATCAAATTATGAAAGCCATGCCGAAAGGAAAACCCGGATCAAGGAAGAACTCTTTAAAAATATGAGCATAGTAGTAGTACTTTGTATAGTACGCAATACATTTTATAGAACTTGGAATATTTCAGACCTTCAAAATGAATGTTAGGGAAACCAGTACGTTCCATAATGATGAAAATCTTGGAACACACGGAGTATCAAACTATCGATATCCCTAAAATCAAGACAAAAGTTTTAAACATTTATCGAGTAATTCAGTGTAAACCAACCCCTATTTTTTTTTTTTTTTTTGAAAGCAGATTTCTTTCCTTTAATGAATGATTACACCTGGAACTGCACCTACCTTAACAGTCTTCATCTGTGTGTGGGTATGTGGGGTTGATTTTCCCTTACAGAAAGCAACCATTAGTTTCTTTTCCCTTGCCCAAGATTTAAAAACTAGTCAAGCATCACATACAAATACAGAAAGGCCTACTTCAAGTGACAAATGAAAAATGTAACTCCAGATGGTGTATGCCCACTGAGAGTAAGTGTAGTTACCCCCACACAAAAGGATGCCAGAGATTTTTGTAACAATTGGTAATAGAAAACAGTGGTTTTCAAGGAAGAACTTAATCAGACCTAGAGAGTCCTAAGAAGCTTTATTTTTAACAAGGGCCCCACGACTCTAGGTTTTGATTAAATGTGTGGTTTGGCGAAACACCTTTAACCTTTTTCATGTCAGATGACATATACAACAAAATTAAATTATACACACACACACACACACACACACAATTAAATTACAAATCATGGAACTGAACAAAAAATAATCTTTATAATAGATACCTAAATACAATATCATTTTTTAAATGAAATCATGTGTACATAGCTGTATTCATAAAAATAAGTACACTCATCAAAAACTATACAACAGCAAATCCAAATGCAGACAAAGATATTCTTCTGAATTCCATTTCATCGAGCATCAAAAACCACCACTGTATAAAACTGAGTTAAGGACAAAAAAAGTACTTAAGTTATATAAAAGACTTTAATACTTCCAAGTCACTTTCTCTTTACAGTGTGCTAGTTTGTAATTTAATCTAAAAGCCCAAAAGTATAGATGTCATCATTCTATGATACAAAAGACCAACGCACCAAAAAAACACTGAAGCCGTCCAGCCCATGTGGTTCCATGGTTGAGCATTGACCCACCCATGAACCAAGAGGTCATCAGCTCAATTACCGGTCAGGGCACATGCCAGAGTTTCTTGATCTCCAGTAAGGGTCATGCAGGAGGCAGCCAATCAATATTTCTCTCTCTTCGATGTTTCTATCTCTCTATCCCTCTCCCTTCCTCTCTCTAAAATCAATAAAAACAATTTTTATTGCATAATAATTTCCTTTCAGTCTTTCAACTAATTTGGAAGGCACACCTTTTTCATTTGGTAGCATACATGATATTTGTATTTCTCCTGTAATTTAGTTTATCCATAAACTCAAGCTGACATAAGTATTTAAATACAGAACCCCTGAAAATTAGACTTATGAGAACCAAAATCAACTAGTATTAAGATTATATAGTATGTGACTATACACTGGCATACTGGTCCATGAAAATGCTGACTGTATCTTTTTCTGGGTAAGTAACCCAAAAGTTATTACTACTTTTTACCAGAAATTAGTCTTTGAGTATCATCCCAAGTTTCCTCCTACCTCTTATTTAGAAAGCTTAGTTAAAAGGATACATCTTTTAGTCCTTTTCTTGTACATTATTCTGTACCCACATTCTCTGCATCTGATTGGATCTCTGGATTTTATTTCATTTTCTGCATGACATTCTAGAAAAGAAAATACATTAATTCAGTATCTAAAAGGAAAACATTACATATAAGCAATAAAAAAAAAATCCTCACTTGAGGATATTTTTCCACTGATTTTTCGAGAGACTGGAAGGGAGTTAAGTGAGGAGAGGGAGAGAGGAGGGGAGGCGGAAGGGGAAGAGAGGGGGAGAGAGAGAGAGAGAGAGAGAGAGAGAGAGAGAGAGAGAGAGAGAGAGAGAGATGCTCCGGGAATCCAATCCAAAACCCTTTGATGCCCAGGCCAACGCTCTACCATTGGACAACCAGCCAAGGCTTATTACCAATACATTAAGGGGGAAAGATGGTTTGGGGCAAGCACTTTTTCTAGGAGAGAGAATGAAATCTTGAGAGGATTTTTATGGTGGCTAAAGTTTCTGCGTTATGATTTTAAAGATGAGTGACTCATTGAAGCCAAAGAGAAAATAAGTTTTTAAAAAAATGAAGTAAAATAGTCTTACTTTAGGTAGTGCTACTCTTACCTCCACAGATATAGATCATTGGCTGCTGCTTAGGGGGTTGGACGTCCTTCTGGGTGTCCATTGTTAGTCCCTGAAATCAGATTCAATCCTGAACGTCACAAATCCAACCAGTCCCCATTATTCTCAGAGAAGGCTAAAAAGGCCCCAGTTCCTAATCTGTACACTTTCAAATACTATGCATAGGTATAAAGGCCGAAATATAACAACAAACAACACCCCACAAGGTATTGTGTGCACTTATCCACAATCACAAATACTTCACACATGCTACTTCACTTATACCTGCGACTTTACTATAATCTTTACAACAATCCTACGAAGTATTCCTCTTATTTTACAGGTGCAGCAGCCCCGGCTTAGAGCAGGTACTGTGCACTGGCTTTGGAGGAGGCGGACGAATTCAGAACTGACTGCAAAAAGCTCGCCTTCTCATGTAGCACAAGCAAAAGCTCCATTTCTCCTAATGTTAGCAACGCACGGCCAAAAAAAAATGATCTCTCTCAACAGGGACTCATGCGCCCAAAGATAAGGGAAGACTAATAACTCCCAACAGCTAAGCAGCTAAACTAAGGAAACCGGGCAGAGGACTCACAGCATCGACTCTATGCCCAGCCTCTCCCGACTCTAACCTCACGCCCGGCCTTTAAACCTCGAGTGTCTTCCCAGTTTGGGCCCAAATCCCCACCCCACACCCCCTACAACCAGGCAATCCCCCTACTCACTCAGCACCGACACACTCCTCTCGCCGCGGTTCCAAACAGCCGGCAGCAGCTCGTCCTACGCACCCCACTTCCGGCGCCGGCTTGTGACGCAACCGAGTCCCCGCCCCTTCCCCGCTTCAGGCCCCGCCCCTTCCCCCTCTTCAGTCCGTGGGCGGGGCCGAGCGACCGGGACTGAGCCCTGGAGGAACAGCACTGCCACCTGAGCTTTTCAAAATGCTCTGCAGAGGACAACCTTCAGACACTGAAGTTAATATTCATGGGAAATTTGCCATGACTTGGCTTCTTACCCTTTTCGAGAAATTTTTTCGCCTTTACCTCAAACTAATCTTTGTCTCCAGTTATAACAAATGTAATTTCTCTAATACACCCGCCCAGCTGTTTAAATTGTCACATTTTCTAAAGTCCTCACTGGAGGATATGGGGTGTGTGTGTGTGTGTGTGTGTGTTAGAGAAAATGAGAGAAAAAGAGAGAGAGAGAGAAACAGAGACATGTGAGAGAGAAACATGGATCACCTGATCCTGACCTGACCAGGAATCCAAAGCCTTTTCCTGAGTAGGATGACACTCCATCAGAGCCTGCACGTTATGTTTTGTGTTATAAATCCCCTGTTAACTGCTCTTTATTGTTGTTATTGTTGTTGTGTTAACCCTCACCCATGGATATTTTTGCATTGATTTTGAGAGAGAGTGGAAGGGAAGGGGTAGGGGGAATAGAGAGAGGAGAGGGAGGGAGGGAGGGAAGGAGGGAGAGAGAGAGAGAGAGAAACATCAATGTGAGAGACACATCACTTGCCTCTGGTGGATCCCAATTTAGGTATGTGCCCTGATGGGAATTGAACCCACAATGTTCTGGTGTACAGGACTATGCCCCAACCAACTGAGTCACACCAGCCAGGGCTTACATGCCTTTTAAATTGTCACATGTCCTTCAAAATCCACCCCTTCCCCTCACCCCTTACTTTGTGCCACTCCCATTTCTCTACTGTAGCACTTATACCAGTGAGCCCCTTAGGGACAGTAACTGTGCCTTACTCATCTTTGGATTTCTAGCATCCAGATCGGTAGTTAGCACATCGCTGGAGCTTAATAACTGTTAGTGAACTTGATTTTATCTCATTTTGGATGACTAAGGGGCTACGGGTGGAGAAATGTCCAGTCAGAGTAGAGTGGTGGCAGCTGCAGACTGGCTTAAAAGCAATGACGGAAGCCTTGAAGGATAACCATGCTGGCACAGAATGGCACCCATTTTAGGGAATAGGCAGAGAAAAAGAAGCCAGAAAAAGGAGACTAGGGAGATGGATGAAGCCTGGTTTAAAATAGGTGTCCAGTAAACAAGATAAAACATCCCCTTTTAGATGCCTAAAAACACCAAGCACAATCCTGTAACCAAGTTAGACCTTTTAGACCACAGACTGCGCATACCTGTACTCCCCTAGAAGAGGCCATTCTGTTCGTCACTTGCCTTTCAGACTTATCTCTGGAAATATTTTCAAGCAAATATTGCCTTACATTGTTTTTAATGGCATCTACTAGAGTATCCTCTCCATATAAAGCTCCCCAAAGTGAGAATGAGAAGAGCCCACCAGTGGGTGGGGATGGAAGGGTAGGCAGGAATGGACGAGATCCTCTGGGTCTGGGCGAAGGCTGGGGTCCGGTAGATGGAGCGCGGGGCGGAGCAAAAGCTGGGGCGGGGCCTAGGGAGCCTGTGGGGGCGGGACTTGAGCGCGAGAGGAAGGGGCGGGGCTAAGCAAAGACTGGGGCGGGCCCTGCGGGGCGCGGGAGGGGCGGGGCTGAGGAAGGGGCGGGGCTTGGGAGGGATGGGAGGCGCGGGGCGGGGCCTGAGGGGCGGAGCAAAGACTGGGGCGGGGCCCTTGGGGCGTGGCGCGTAGGGAGGGGCGTGGCCGCCGTGGGGGCGTAACCGTCACTCGGGGCGGGCGGTTCAAACCCGAGGAGGGAAGCTCAGCGGCCCCACGCGAACCTGGCGTGGGCGTTGCCATAGCGGATCTCCCCGGGGGGCGAGGCCGCGGCTCCTCCCGGGCTCCTCCCGGGCTCAACCAGGCAGAGCTGCTTCTCTCCCCTCCCGCCCTTCGCGGCTCGCTCGGCGCCCGACCCCGTGGGTGCGGCGGCCCCTTGGTCTCCAGTGGGTGAGAGTGGGGGGCCCAGGTGTGTGGGGCCCCGAGGGCCTCTGGGCGTCCCTCAGCCCCGCGCCCCACTTTGTTTTCCAGGTGCTGGGAGTGGAGAGCGCCTCCACACCGTCCCCTCGCTCGCCGCTCGCCGGGCTCCAGGTGACGCCGCTCGACCTCGGCCCGCCAGAGGCTCACCGGCCGGAGCCGCCCCGCGGGGGGAGGGCGTGGAGGGGAGACCGTTACCCGGCCGCGCGCGCCCGGGGTACCTCAGGGGGACCGGTCGGCGCCCCGCTCACACGGGAGCCCCGGAAACACGAATTTGGGGCTTTTCCTCAGGTCTAACACCAGCTGGGGCAAACCAGGGTATTACAAGTCCCGTGGTCTGGGAAATGTAATGTGACTCAGGCCTTTCCAAGGGTTAGGATCCCCGCCCCCGTGACCCTTCCGCGCCGCTGCCCGTTTCAATTCGTGACTCACGCTCAACTTTTCTCCTGAAGCGAGATTCCTTTGACATGAATTCTAAAGGCAACGTGAGAGAGTTTCTTGTTGGGAAACCTACGTTAACTTTGGCGTCGTAAGAGCTCAAGATTGACTGGTGGTAAGATTTCCCACTTGATCAGATCAAGGAGATTTGGTTTTTAATATAGTTAAATACGTATTTCATTATCCTATTTGACAAATACTCCCCCCCCCTTTTTTTTTTCTTTTCTTTCTAAGAGCACAATAAAGAGAATCGTTCTCACCCCTTTGTCAGGAGCCTGGTGTTAAACAACTGAATATTAAGGAGGCTTGTTTGATTCATCAGGGAACTGTGGAGTCAGTAAAATTAAGTAAGTCGATGGGAATTCCGTGATTTGGCATGAATTTTATTTTACTTTTTAAATATATATTGTTTTTATTGATTTCGGAGAGGAAAAGAGAGAGAGAGAGAGATGGAAACATCAGTGATGAGAGAATCGTTGATTGGCTACCTCCTGCACAGTCCCTCCTGGGATCAAGCCCACAACCTGGCATGTGCTCTGACGGGAATTGAACCCCCGGCTGGACCCTTCAGTTCACAGGCCAAGGCTCTGCCTTCTGAGCCAAACCAAAGGGCTGGCATGAGTAATTTTAAATAATTTAATAGTTTTGAAGAACCAAGTTTTCTTTCAGACCAATGTCAAGATAGTAGAAAGATGACCGTGTTGACAACAAAGATAGCACGTTTGAAGCAACATTTAAAAAGTATATATTTTATTTATTTATTTATTTATTTATTTATTATTATTTTTTTATTTTTTACAGAGAGGAAGGGAGAGGATATAGAGTTAGAAACATCAATGAGAGAGAACACATCAATCAGCTGCCTCTTGCACACCCCCTACTGGGGATATGCCCACAAGCAAAGTACATGCCCTTGACCGGAATTGAACCTGAGACCCTTGAGTCCGCAGGCCAATAATATCCACTGAGCCAAACCAGTTAGGGCAGGGGCAACTTCAAATGTGTAGATGAAGAGGAAAAAAATAGGAAGTTTTGTGTGTGTGTGTGTTTTATGTTTATAACAAGTAGCCTATGGATTTTTTATGGACTAATTATTTTTATAAATCTTTATTGTTAAAAGTAGTACATATATCCCCCCTCCCCCACGCCCACTTACGCTTTCTAGTCAGCCCCCTAACCCTCACTTTATTTCTAACAATTTGCCTCTCAGTTTCCCAAAGTCTAGCACGGTGAGACACCTAGTGGTGAAGTAGTAGAATAGTTGCATTTGTCTTAACTTTTTGAAAGAATTCCTTAATTTTGCCAAATGACATGAACGAAACGGTCACTAGAATGACTCTTAGAGAGGGGGAAACATTCGTGGTTGGGGGTGAAATGTTAAAACATATTCTATTTTATTAATACATTTGGAAACAATTTGTTTTAAAATATAAAAATTCTAGAAAGCAAAAATTGATAGTCTTGGCTGGTAAGCATGTGCAAAAGATAGCAGTGATTCTCAGTATCCAAGGGGATTGAGATCATAAAGAAACATGTGAAATTTGCCAGAAAAGAATATAGGTTGAAAAAGACTAAGATACTTTGCCAAGTAATAATGATGTAATGATCATTATAAAGAAACCATTTGATTTTGTGGTTAGAATAGCAATTTAAAAAACATCACCTCATGCATTCAAATATTTAACTGATATAACTTAGGCATAAATAAATTACTTCCCATTATAGTAAAAATATATCTTCTCAGGAATTTTTAATAGAGAAAAATTATATTTGGTCTGGAGAAAACTTTGAAAGATTAACAGTTATCTTAGTATCCTTTGCTATCTTTCTTCCTTTGAGTTAAGATTTAATTTGAGTTTCCAAAAAGAAGGAATGTGATGATAAAGTATTTGCTAGTGTCATTTCTTATAAAATTACCGAGTCACATTTCTTTAAGTAATTGAAATTTTTAATTGGAATTTCAAGAACATTATAAAGAGTGGATTTACCACAGATAGTGGTATTTTAGAGCTTTTATACGTGAGTGCTGTTAAAATCATAAGGTAATAAAATCATGTAAAAATGAAAATGCCAGATTATTTTTTCTCCTCAAGTATAATTCAAGAAATATATCTGTGCATGGCGCTTAGACTATGCATAGTCAAGTAAAAATAACTTTTTATTGTCATAAAATTTCTGTTATCTGTACTCATCACAAATAGTATATTTTGGTGTAAGTTGTCAGGCTGTGCATTTCTAATGAAGAATAACATCTGTTTTCACATTTTAGAAACAGGTTTTGAAGATGTCAGAAAGTCATTCAGGCCAGGTTGGATCTGGAGTAGGAAATGAGATGGACTCTCCTGTCAAAATCAAGTACTCCAGCTTCAGAGATTTTTGTTCCACATTTTCATTTCAAGATACTGACTACAGTGAGTTTTTAAAACCTTGCAGCTTTGATAAAGATAAAGAATTTTGGGTAAAGAAGCATGAAGACCCAACATTAAACTATGAAATTTTTGAAACAAGTCTGGACTTAATAAATCCTTTAGAAACCCCTACTAAAAAAAAGAGAATTGTCTTCTTTAAGAAGAAATCGGCCATACCCCCAGACTTTTGTGAAACTCCTAAACTCAATGGAAAACGTTTACGGTGGCCCAGAAGGCTGGATGATTCTTTCTCTCCTCTAGAAAGAAGTTTTGAATCACAAGATAGTTCTATAGAAAGTTGTTTAAGCGAGGTTCTCAACTTTGAAACAGATATTCCAAGCAGTGCTTCAGATTTTCCAAAGCAAAATAATTTTAGTGCTTTAGTTACTAGTACTTCGAAAACAGAAGAAGGGACTTCAAGCCCTCAAAAATTGAGACTTAATTTTTCACAACAGAAGACTTCCACAGTTGATGACTCCAAAGATGATTGTAGCCTATTTGAAGTTGAATGTATATCACCAATTCAGGGCAATAATTTTAAAGACTCTATCACCCATGACTTTAGTGATAGTAGTAGCTCATGTATTAACGATGAGAATACATTTCCTGAACTTCTGGGCTCCTCTAGTAGTGGAACAACTTGTGAAACAGATGAGGACATATTTGTGACTCCAAAAAATAGCCCTGTTGTAAACATTAAATTTAAGGCAAGTCAAAGGCTTTTTCCTCAAGTGAGAAGCAATATTTCAACACCTGAAGACAGTGGTTTTTACTCACTTTTCTTTGATAAATCAGATTCCCTTTCTGACCAGGAGAGTTCTTTTCAAAAACGACTTCAGAAACATAAGGGAACTCTTAAAGTGGAGGACACCATAAGAAGGTCGAGGCGCCTTGGGAGGTTGAGAAGACTGTCTACCCTTCGGGAACAAGGCTCACAGTCTGAGACAGAAGAGGAAAGCCAGATCACCCACTTTGAATCTGAAACAACACCAGCAGCTTCTTCAGACATCTCAGAGAGTCAGCCTAGCAGTGATAGTCAGAGTGAGGAACTGAGTTTAGGCTTTAATAATTTATCGAATACCCCAGCCTTGCAGTTAGTGCATGAGCTCTTTATGAAAAACAAAAGGAAAAGATTCCAGCAAAGTGGTACATGTGAATTCTTAGAAGATAGGGATGAGGCAAAAATAGCTGTACTGCAGTGTGTACTTGAAGGACTGATTGGCAAGAAAATGGGTATAGAAAAACTAGACATCTTAACAGAATTAAAATATAGAAATCTAAAGCATATTCTTGCAGTTGTTTTAGATTCCTTGTCTGCAGAAAGCCTATGCAGGTAAGAAATACTTTTTTTCTGAAAAGACTTCTTAACACATTGAGAATTTTTAAAATATGTTTTTATTAATTTTTTGAAAGAGAATGAAAGGGATAGAGAAACACTGATGATTGATTGGCTGCCTTCTACATGCCCTGTGTTGAGTATCGAACCCCTAATCCGGGTATTTACCCTGACCAGGAATTGATGGTTTCTGGATCCATGTTTAACCACTGAGCCACACCAACTGGGCAACTTTAAAAAATATGTATATCTTTATTGATTTCAGACAGGCAGGGAGAGGGAGAGAGAGATAGAAACATCAATGATGAGAATAATTTATCAGTTCCCTCCTGCAAGCCCCACACTGGAGATTGAGCCTGCAACCTGGTCATGCCCAGGAATCAAACCCGTGACCTTTTGGTTCATGGGATGATGTTCAATTCATTGAGAACCACCAGCCAGGCTAACAGCCTGCTTTAGAAGCAATAATATAGTCTTTGGGATAAAGTTCATGTTCCTGACATTTGGAAGGAGAGTTTATAAAAGTTGTACTTTAGATTTTCAAAATTACATCCTTTATTCCATGAAAGTTATTTAATGATTTACTTAATAGTTCACATCCTGTTGTCAGATTGAAAATTGTAGGAAAGTATAATACTTGGTCAGAAATAATATAAAGCATTATGATGACTAAGAAATTACAATATACAAAGGATAGCATTTAGTTATTTATTTTTTTAAAAAAATATATTTTATTGATTTTGTACAGAGAGGAAGGGAGAGAGATAGTTAGAAACATCGATGAGAGAGAGTCATTGATCAGCTGCCTCTTGCACACCCCCTACTGGGGATATGCCCGAAACCAAGGTACATGCCCTTGACCAGAATTGAACCCGGGACCCTTCAGTCCCCAAGCCGACGCTCTATCCATTGAGCCAAACCGGTTTTGGCTGCATTTAGTTATTTAAGTTCTAGAGACCAAGGGAATATAGATTATTTCATTTTAATTGCCAACAGCAATGGAAATTAATTTGGGGAATTTTAAGGGATTAGAAACTGTAGAATCTTTTTAAAAAAATATATTTTATTGATTTTACACAGAGAGGAATTGAGAGGGACAGAGAGTTAGAAACGTCGATGAGAGAGAAACATCGACCAGCTGCCTCTTGCACACCCCCTACTGGGGATGTGCCCGCAACCAAGGTACATGCCTTTGACCGGAATCGAACCCGGGACCTTTCAGTCCGCAGGCCTACGCTCTATCCACTGAGCCAAACCGGTCCCGGCAGAAACTGAAGAATTTGTGATCTCAGAGATTTCAGTGTATTGAGTACTGCTATAAAACTAAAGAGAAACCAAGACATTTAGGAGTATTGAGGGTAGGAACTAGGGTTACAAAGACTAAAGTGAGACCTTGTTCATATGGGCAATTTTGAAGAGTCCGAAGACTATCAGAAGACAAGACCCTTGTGAATGCCATAACTAGGAAGGCAGGAAGTTATGTGAAACATGATTTCTGCAAGGTAATGATTGGGGGAGGACATGCAGGAGAGTGAACCTCTTTTTGAAAGGGATATGTCAGTTTGGTTCATGGAGTCTTTTTTAAAAAATATTTTATTGATTTTGCACAGAGAGGAAGGGAGAGGGATAGATAGCTAGAAACATCGATGAGAGAGAATCATTGACTAGCCGCCTCCCGCACACCCCCTGCCAGGGATGTGCCTGCAACAATGTACATACCGGAATCGAACCTGGGACCCTCCAGTCCACAGACCAACGTTCTATCCACTGAGCCAAACCAGTTTTGGTGGTTCATGGAGTCTTTAGTGTTTTTATGGCTACACAATTTCTATTAGAGCCCAGCTTCACCTTCCTCGCATAAATCACTTGTAGGCTATTGCAGAAAATTGTAGAATTTCATAGCTGGAAGTCTGACATATCTAGTCCAATCCTGTATTTTGAAAACGAGAAAACTGAGCTCCAGAGAAGTGACCAGCCAATAATTTAAGGAGATAAGGATAGATCCAAATCTATAATTGAGTCCTCTGAATTTCTAATCTAGAATTTTCCATAAACTTAAGGTGTAAAGACTTTCCAAATAGATTTGATCATGAATGTACTTGGTTTAACCCAAGTAGGATAATAAACAGATTAGTACACATATATGTGCACATCTTTTAAAAATGTTCAAATGAGATAATTTGTTTAAAAGTTAAGTGATGGCTGAGATCTAGGAATTTTATTTTTATATGTTGGAGTATTTGCATACTGACTAGTTAAAATGAAAACTTAAGGTGATGCTGTTGGGTATTCACTTCTGGGAGTAGATGATAATCATTGAGATATATATAAAAGCCCAGTGACTAGAGTAATTGGTCACTATGACGCACACTGACCACCATGGGGAGGGGGCAGTTGTGGTCAGTGTGCTCCCACAGAGGGAACACTGTTCAGCCAGAAGCCTGGCTCACTGAAACCAATTTGGCTCAGTGGATAGAGCGTCCATCTGTGGACTCAAAGGTCCCAGGTTCGATTCCGGTCAAGGGCATGTACATTGGTTGTGGGCACATCCCTAATAGGAGGTGTGCAAGAGGCAGCTGATCAATGTTTCTATCTCTCCATCCCTCTCGCTTCCTCTCTATAAAAAATAAAATATATTAAAAAAAAAGAAGCCTAGCTCATGGCTGGTGAGTGCAGTGGCAGTGGCAGGAGCCTCTTCCGCCTCCACTGCTAAGGAGTTTCACGGAGCAAGCAGGTGGGCAGTAAGGAGCAAGTAGGCGGGCAGTTAGTGAGGAATCCCACATTTTGAGAGGGCACAGGCCGGGCTGAGGGAACCCCTCAACCCCTACACGGATTTCATGCATTTGGCCTCTAGTATTTCAATAATTACCTTTCCTGCCCTGCCCTTAAAATTTATAGTATTTGTATTGTAGAATGCATGTATAATAGCAGTGTTCATTCTTGGTCATTGGAGATTATGGTTAGTGGAAATAGCTCTGGCAAATACCCAGTATATAGTTCATTTCTTCCCAATTAATGGGTGACTTTCTGCGTGTTCCCTTTCATCAGTCTGCTATAAGATGCATGTACCAGTTTAGGGAGGCAACGGCAACTGAAGCAGCCGTGGTAACTGGAAGGATAGTAGTATTGACAGTTCAAGTATTAACTTACTATGTGACTTTGTTTTTCAACTGTCTTTTAGTAATTAGTTAATTTAGAGTAATAAAAAGACAAGATTAACAGTTGAAGGATTACTTTAATAGTATAGTCAAAGTTATTGATTAACAAGCAATCACTGAATATAATTTTTTCTTTAGTTGCTTCATTCTCTTAAACTGTGATTTATAAGATAGAAACTTTGTACTGCTGCCCGTAATAGTATTTATTATTTGACATTTAGTACTTCCAATGAAGGATTGATTGTTCTTATGCTTGTTTAATGAAAATGACAGATTTGTTAAATACATTATAAGAGAAATTGATTTAAAAAAATCTCTTATGCTATAAATGATAATCATTTGCTGCAAGTCATGTTTTCAATCTTAGTATCACATTTGAAATGAAATCCTCTTAATCAGTCTCCCATGGACTCATATTGGCTTTACATTAAACTGTTTGTCCCTTAACCATTTATAAGATAATTTCTCAATGTAATGCTGACATATATTTAATAGGATTTCTTTCATATGGTGAAACCATAAGAAACTGATATAGATTAAATCATATTTTAGGAATCGAACCTAAAATCTTTAAAAACAGTTTTTCTTATTAATTGCCATTTGCAGAAAATGTTAATATTGTGGTATATATAAATATAAGGACTGATCTTTTTGTCATAGTGTTTGGAACGTGAGCAAAAATTGGCGTGAAATTATTGTTCAAAATAAAAAAGCAAATCAGAGGAGGAGATTTTATCTCACACAACTGAAAACACATGCTAAGGTAATGTATATAATACTTTTATAAAATGGATTCTAAAATATAAACATCTATTAATCCCATATTGGTGGGCAACCAAATTTGATTTTCCCGTCTTTTACCCTTTTCCATTTAGCAAACGTTCACTCTCACCTCTTTTCCCAATCTCTATTTCCTTCTGGACTATAAGTGGAGTAGACTACCTAGCATCAAGAATATCTTGTTGGGTTTTGTTGTTCAGTGTATGTACTATTAGCAGTATTTGAATACTAGTGATATACTGGGTCCTATTCATAATTAGATATTCCTACAGCATTTTTTCAATCCTTTTAGTGGATGATATATGCCAATTGCTTAAAAAACAATGGCAAACATTCATGACATGGTCCCTGCTCTCTTGGAGCTCATATCTTGTAAATGATATAGGTAGGGGTGACCAGAATTAGTTCTATTGGAACAATTAAAAGGAATATTTAATACTTAGGGATTAAGAGAAGGCTTTTCAGGAAAAGTGTATCTCAGCTGAGACAGAATAGTGTTCCAGCAAAAGGAATCCTATCTAATAAAAGAGTATTATGCAAATTGACCATCATTCTAATACACAAGATGGCTGCCCCCATGTGGATACAAGATGGCTGCCACAAGATGGCCAGCAGGGGAGGGGAGTTGGGAGGGGCCAGGCCTGCAAGGGAGGGCAGTTGGGAGTGATCAAGCCTGCAAGGGAGGGCAGTTAGGAGTGACCAGGCCTGCAGGGGAGAGCAGTTAGTGGCAATCAGGCTGCAGGGGAGCAGTTAGGCATCAATTAGGCTGGCAGGGGAGTGGTTAGGGGGTGATCAGGCTGGTAGGCAGAAGCGATTAGGGATAGTCAGGAAGGCAGACAGGTGAGCAGTTGGGAGCCAGCAGTCCTGGATTGTGAGACAGATGTCCTCTGGGCTCGGGCCTAAACAGGCAGTCGGACATCCCTCTAGGGGTCCGAGATTGGAGAGGGTACAGGATGGGTTGAGGGACACCCCCCCCCCCCCGTGCACGAATTTCATGCATCATGCCTCTAGTAATATATATGAAGGCCTAGAGGTGAGTGAGCATGGCAGATTATGACTGGTAAAGCACCATAAACTTGTACCCCTTTTGAAGATTTGAGATCCAGTTTTAAAGGTACAAGAAAAGTCGTCCTTGCTGTAATAGGCATCTGATGATTCTGGCAACCATCTTTCTTGTATATTCAAACAGATATTTCTTAGGCATCAATCCCAAAAGAGATTGAGAGTTCGCCCTTTTATTCTTGTCCTAGTAGAAAGTATTTAATAGAATATTAAAGGAAATTTTCAATTTGATAAAATTGAAATGAAGCATAGCATAAGAAAAATGAGAGCACCCAGATACAAATGGGTGAGTTTCTCATTACTATGAAATATTAGGGATTCTGTTAAATATTAGGGACTGCTCTGACTTTTTATTTTACTTTGGAGAAAAGTTTTACCATCTTGCTTGTAATGAGTTGCCTTACAACTTATTCATAGCTCCTGGAAACTTTTGGTTACAGCTGCTGGCTTTGGGAGCTTATAATAGTGAAGATATTTATTGCATTTCTAATGTATCTTTTTAGAGTGCTTCCCTACATGCTAATGACAGACTTAAAACACACTTTTTTTTTTTTTTTTAAAGCTAGAACCTACTAATATTAAACTTACATATTATAAGGTAGAAACTTGTGATTGTGTATGGCAACCTTTTAGGTAATTCTAAATAAAATATTATTTTCATAGCCTAGCCACGATTTTTTTAAACCTTGGTTTCTTAAAGGACTATACTTCCCCTCCCCCCTTACTGGAACTCTTTTTCTTTATTTTGGTTTGATTTAATTTAATATATATATATATATATATATATATATATATATATATTTTAATTGATTTCAGAGAGGAAGAGAGAGGGAGAGAGAGATAGGAACATCAATGATGAGAGAGAACAATCCATTGGCTGCCTCCTGCATGCCCCCTACTGGGATCAAGCCCACAACCAGGGTATGTGCCCTTGACTGGAATTGAACCTGGGACCCTTCAATCTGCAGGCTGGCACTTTATCCACTAAGCCAAACCAGCTAGGACTAAATTTTTTTTTTTTTATCAAAATGAAATTAATACATAGTTAAAGTTAAATTGAACAATGAGACTTAAAACACATCCTCCTGCCCTCTGCATTCCCATTCTTCTTACACCATCAAGATAATAACTTTTAGCCGGGACCGGTTTGGCTCAGTGGATAGAGCGTCGGCTTGCGACTGAAAGGTCCTGGGTTCGATTCCGGTCAAGGGCATGTACCTTGGTTGTGGGCACATCCCTGGTAGGGGGTGTGCAAGAGGCAGCTGGTTGATGTTTCTCTCTATCGACGTTTCTGACTCTCTGTTCCTCTCAATTCCTCTCTGTGTAAAATCAATAAAATATATTTTAAAAAAAAGATAATAACTTTTACTTCTTCAGTTGTTCCTTCTGACATTTCTAAATAGAATGCCTTAACTGCTATATTTTTGCATTTTTTTCCTACAGGATTGTCTGTTCTCTAGCCTCTCTTCACTACTAGCACTATCTACCCACCTCTCTGAATGCTTTTCTCCCATTCTTCTATCTTAATGAGTATAACTACACCACTTGGGAGTGAATCAGAATTATGCACTCACATTATGAAGACTGTTGAGATTATTATGACTTTTTGACAGTTGTAATATGCAGATTTTTTTATATAACATTTTTTTTTTACCCCTAGAGTTAATAATTGCCCAGTTTCTTTCTTTTTTGCTTAGTGTTTCTCTATACAGGTCCCTGATTTCATCTCCTATTATCCACCAGAACTGGAAATCTCTTCTCTGCAAGTCCAAACATATCAGGTATTCTACCTGTTCCTTCTTTTCCTCAGGGATATCCTTCCTGGTGTCCTGTGCCCTCTCATTCTAATACGGACTGGATGCTTTCTACTGAACTATCCTAATGTATCATTAATCAAAACAAACATATAAAACAAAGTTGTTAGACAGTTTTTCTCACACTTGTATAGCATCACTGAAAGCTCCGTATGTGTGCAAATTAGAAGGCACAGACCAGCTATGGGCAAAAGGATCTCAATATGATGTTTGCTTTGCAGCAGTGAGAATGAACATTACAATTGGAATGATACATCTTTTCCATTGCATTTCTAAATTTCCTGTATTCTGCACTTTTTTTTTTTATAATCATGGAAATGAACAACATAAGGTGACTCCATTCTCACATTTAAATGTTTTCTGGTAAAATGTTTGATGTCTATGTTTCAGAAAATTTAGATGTTCATAGACATGTGCCTTTGTTAACTGCTTTGCTTTGTACTGTTCAGAGATAATTGCACACACAAATAGTTGCTCCAGAACAGGGATGGAACTGTTTAATTCACTTGGCACCGTAGGTCTTCCATAATATTTGTTAAATGAATGAATGTTACTTCTGTGGCTGAAATTTGCTTCAACAACATATCTCTATTCTCTTGGTACATGCATAATCACTGAGTTTACCAATTTCATAAAAATTCATTTGTGTGCTATTGTGTCATGTGCTCGTGGCCTAGGCTACAAATCATTTATAGAAATATAATATAGAGATGTATTGAGTCTTTGAAAAAGTTCAACCGAATTCTAATTCCTGAAAATAAATTCATCCATTACACTTACATATATGTTGTTAAACTGTTAATCATGTAATTGATCATGACCAACTGACCTCATTTCCTAAACTTATTCTATCATAATTTCTTATGTTTTAGGTTTCCCCATTGCTAGGAGCCAATAGTGGCTAAAGAAGACTATCCAGGGAGAGAAACACAATTATAGTTGAACACATGTGGAAATTTACCTGCAGTTCACTTTATTCTGATAATTGGTTAAGAACGCCAACTTGTTTTTTTTTTTTAACTTATTATTTTTAATATCAACTTCAACAAAATAGAAGGCTGTAAGGATTACTCATTGAGAATATTTCTTGGCTAAATATTTGAGTACTGTAGAAATCCAATTCAGATAAGATTGATTGCTTTTTATCCTTTTAAAATACCAAAGCTGTTTAAAATTCAAAGGTAAAAAGAATCAAGTATTTACAAATATTACAAACAACAGCCGAACAAATTGAGTCTCATAGTCTAATTCCATTACACTTTTGATATAAGGCAAAGGTAAGAACCTTCAAAGAATTTCATGATATCCCATAGCAAACTTTTTAAAGGATTTATTCCCTTCTTAGAACCTGGCTTAAAACAAGTTGGCAAACTCCAGTCTGTGGGCCAAATCCTCACTATCACCTGAATTTTTTTGTTGCTGTTGTTAATCCTCATATGAGAGCATTTTTCTCATTGCCTTTCAGAGAGTGGAAGTGAGGGAGGGAGGGAGGGAAGGAGAGGAGAGAAAAAGAGGAGAGGAGAGGAGAAACATCAGTTCATTGCCTCTGCACTGGTTGCTCCTGCATGCACCCTAATCACAACACAGGTACTTGGCGTTGACTGTAAATCGAACTTGCAACCCTTTGGTCACTGGCTGGCTGATGCTTCAACCATAGAGCCACATCGGCCAGGGCCCATCACCTTTATTTTTATATTTTAAAAATGTGTTTTTATTTATTTCAGAGAGGAAGAGAGAGGGAGAAAGGGATAGAAAACATCAATGATGAGAGAGAATCATTGATCGGCTGCCTCCTGCACACCTCTGGGCATATGCCCTGAACAGGAATTGAACCATGACTTCCTGGTTCATAGGTCAACACTCAACCACGGAATCACTGGCTGAGTCATCACCTTTATTTTTAAATTGTTTTGTTTTATTAGACCTCAGCACTGCTTTCTCATTTACCTATCTCTATAGCTGCTTTTGCTAAAATGGCAGTTGAGTAGCTGTGACTGTCTGATTTGAGAAGTGTAAAATATACTATCTGACTTTTTCCAGGAAAAGTCTGTTAACCCATTCCTTAAACAAAAAAATAATCATGCAAACCAAAAGCTAACATTTATTTTCAATTTTTAAAAATTGATTTCAGAGAGAAAAGGAGGAGGAGGAGGAGGAAGAAGAGAAGGAGGAGGAGGAGGGGAGAGAAACATCAATGATGAGAGAAAATCATTGATTGGTTGCCTCTTGCCCACAACCTGGGCATGTGCCCTGAGCAGAATCGAACTTTGACTTCTTGGTTCATAGGTCGACACTTAACTGCTAAGCCACACCTGTCGGGTTATTTTTCAATTTTTAAATATGATTTAGGGAGAAAATTCTAGTTGTGTAAAACCACGTCCAGTGGTTTAGGGAGAAAATTCTAGTGATGTAAAACCATGTCTAAACATTTAAATAGATGTGCATCAGAAAGCTGTCCTAGAACTTTTGATATTACAGTATTGACTCCTCTTGTCTTTTACTACAGCAGGCTATATTAAATGTTCAGGATGCTGCCACTCGGTTTCAGCTTTCAAATCGTTCAGCTTTAAGTTCTGTACAAGCTCAGGCTAGAACACCAAATTCTGAGAAAGAACAGGTTTCAACATTTTCTCCTTGGGGAGAAGTTTTGACACCTATAGCAAGCTCTTCAATTAATGACTCACATAGTAAACAGGAAGAATATGTTAGGGTAAGTATTATTTTATTGGAAATAAATACTTGCAGAGTTTGAAATAAAGTGATTGTCTATATGAAACTAGAAGATTTAGTATATATACTTTTACTGCAGGTTGCCAAAACACTTTTTATTGATGAAGCATTAAAACCTTGCCCGAGGTGCCAATCCCCTGCTAAGTACCAGCCATATAAGAAAAGGGGCCTATGTAGCCGCACAGCCTGTGGTTTTGACTTTTGTGTGTTATGTTTGTGTGCTTACCATGGGTCTGCAGAATGTAGTAGACGAGCAGCAAAGCCAAGAAACAGAAAAGATCCTCTTCCAGGAAGTGCCCAGAGTAAGCGGAATTTAAAACGCCTCTAAAGAGACTTTAGATATAGAAGAAGCATTTCCCCAAGCAACATTTAATCTGACTTAAAATTATGGATATTTTGAAAGCATGCAAAATTTCCCATTAATGACAGATGATGATTTATTTTCTATTTTGTTTATATTATAATCCATGTCACTGTATGTTTTCTTTAAGATAGTGACTTTAGAAACAATTTTATTTTACTATGTCACTTTTACCCATTTTAATAACTTAGTGTTTTTAAATAAAGATTTTTTCATTGTTATTGTTTATATGTATTTAACTGTTTCATGTAATATTTAAAGATTGTGCATTTCATCACTATGTTGAGATGATCTTCAATCACTTTTTAAAACTAGTTTTCCAAATAATATTAAAATTTTTGAACTTGAGATAGATGGTCTTATTAGAAAATGAGTATTTGACTGAAATGAAATATAAATAAAATGTTTCAGAAGTTCTATTAAATTTATAATTTCAAGCTTTCTCTTAATTTGGTGAGTGTAATATTTGGGCATTTAAAAGACTGGAATACTCATTGTTTCTGTGTGGAGGAGGGTAAATAAATCAAAGTTCACACCTAATATTCCACAAGAGGGCACCAAAGACTTATGCATGGTGATTTCAAAAAAAGAAATTTAGCTTTTGTGTATTGGACATTGATGTACTGTGACATTGCTAGATAGGGAAATGTTCCTTGACTTAATTTTTAAAGTGTATATAGGATAAATTTTTGGTAATAATTATTACTCAGAGTTGCTAATTAAAATATTTTAGCTGGTTTGCAAGAGTGCAGTTTTCTGGGATGACTTAACAGAACACCTTTTTGGCAGCTGGGTCTGTGCCGTAGCCACCTGTTTCCTTGCCCAGCGGCTCTGCCCTCCTGGCTCCCTTACCAGGGACTGTGGAGCCATAGGAACAGAAGGTTCGAAATGGTGGTGGTACACTATCAGTTCCCTCCAGCATTTTCAATTCTGCAGGAAGGTGGTGCTTGTTTCAGGTGCTGTCCTGGGGTAGCCGGGAGCAGACTAACTGGAACCTATGTGATGGATCTGGAAAGCATATGTGACTTTCTGTGATTGGTCCAGAGTTAGAAGTGGGGACAAAAATAGGTGATTACTGATCAAGTTCTGACCATTCTGGGCCTATTTTTGCAGAGGCTGTACTTTGGTTTCCAAGTCTGATTGCTACAGAGGTTATGATGAAAGTTCTATTGTCATTTGGTCTGACCATTGTCCATTTGTATTCAGACTTTTAGCCACATTAAATATCCCATTGCCATCAAAAATTAAAATCACAATGATAAGATGAATTTCAGCCTTTGGTGCTGCTATTCTTGTTTATACTCAGAAAGGTTTAGAACTAGGCTTCAGTTGTACCCTATCACACCAAGCTCAAGGAAGGACTGGTACTTTTACATGATTAAACAGGGAGGATACCTGACATTTTGCTCTTGATTGTCAAGGACACACACACGCGCGCGCGCGCGTACACACACACACACACACACCAGTCTCTCCAGCAGTATTTGGGAGAATCATTGAATTCCTGCATCCTCTTGACCTAATTAGGTTACAAAGAGTAGCCCTAATGCAAGTTAACACTTGCAATTCAGGTCAGCCTTTGTGACATTTGTTTTTGGGCTCATATTTGTAACCTGATCATTTTTCTTTGTCCACAGAAGCTTAACATTATGATATCACTCTTACTTGTTCCATGGTTATGTTGTCTTCTCATATCTCAGCTTTAGCTGTTTTGCAGGGAGACTAAGATGCTTTCCCAAGTTCCCCAAGTTGAATTGCAGGTGTACTGCGAAGTCAATGTTTAAGGCCACCTCAAACACATCCTTCAAATTTGCTAACAATATGTCCAGAATTAAAAGGGAATAAACAAAAAGTTAATTCCATTCATTTATTTATTATAAAGGTATTTATTCTTTATATTAATCTTCACCCAAGGATATTTTTTCTGTTGACTTTTAGAGAGAGTGAAAGGGAGGGGAAGAGACAAAAAGAGAGAAACATTGATGTGAGAGAGACATTGATTGGTTGCCTCCCACACATACCCTGGGGATCGAGCCTGCAACTGAGTTATGTGCTTTTGACTGGAATGGAATACTGGACCCTTCAATCTGCAGGCCAATGCTCTATCCACTGAACCAAACCGGCTAGGGCAAGTTATTTCCATTTGTGTAAATATAGTTTCCATTATAAACTCTTGGTTTTGAAACTGCATTGGTTTTCAACAATGATATAGATTAGTTGCAAAAATTTGCCTTTTTGAAAAAAACTAGTTTGGGGGCCAGAGACAGAATAAAATTAGTTTTAAAAATAAAACCACATTGAAATGCAAATCAAAACCACAAAGATATAACCATTTCACACCCTGTAGGAAGGCTTTAATAAAAAAGTCAGATGATAAATGTCAGAGAGAATGTACTGAAATCAGAACCCTTATCCACTGTTGGTAGTAATATAAAATCATTTGGCCAATTTAGAAAACAGTCTGGAAGTTCCTTAAAAAAGTCAAACAGATTTGTTAAACTATTTAAACTACCTTTTGACCTAGTTATTCCACCTCTAGATATATATCCAAGAAAAATGAAAACATATGCCCACAAAAAAATTTGTACATAAATGTTCTTAGCAGCATGATTCATAATACCCAAAAAGTAGGAACAACCCAAATGATTATTAACTCATGAATGGACAAATTATTGTATATCTATGCAATGGAATATTATTCAGCAATAAAAAGAAGTACTGATTCATGCCACAACATGGATGAAGCTTAAAAACATTGTTAAGTGAAAAAAAAAAGTCACAAAGACCAGCATTTCATTTATGTGAAATATCCAGATAGGCAATTATAGAAATACAGAAGGTAGATTAGTGGTTGCTGGGGAGGGGAGAATAGGAGATGATAGCTAAAAAAGTTTCTTGAGGTGATAAAAATGGTCTAAAATAGAAAATGGTGCTAGTTTCACTCCTCAATATACAGTCAAACTTCAGTTCTCAAATGTCTCCCATCTTGAACAATTCAGGTCTTGACCAAGTTCACAGAAAAAAAAAAGTCTTGGCTGCCTGAATAAAACTTTAGTTCTCAACCCAACAACCCTTTTAAGCTGTTACCATAGCATAACGAAAAGCATCTCTCAGGCAACAAAGGAGAGAATGCTCAAGCATGAGTTAGTTTATTGCTACACCGAGGATTGTGAACATCTCAGGAAACTGTGCTGTGAATATTTCTTTTTGCTAGTGAAATGGCCAATTAATACAATTTTAAAACATAGAGGCCATCGAGTGCTGATGTTGCTAAAGGTGTGAAAGTACAATGATCACAGGCAGAGGGGTAGGAAATTTGTTGTTCATTTGAATTAGCAAAACGCATTAGCCGGTTATAGAATTTTAGAGGCAATGATATGTGAAAAAGTGAATATGCTGTATATTGATCTACTGAAAGATACCCCTGAAATAAGTGCTGGGAGTGATTTGTTTAAGGCTATTAGGGGGTGGTTCAATTGATTTAAGAAAAGAGGTGTTTATTTATAGATTGGATAGTACATTAGACATGCATTGTATATAAGAAAGGTTAAAATAGGGAGATGTTACCAACCGGGGTTACTGTCTGGGATCTTGGTTTTTCTGGTTGGCACAGAAAAGAATTTAAGGCCAATGAAAACAAAGACCAGAAGGGCTTTTCTGGCAGCAGAATCAGCACAAGCAAATGCCCGAAATGCCCCTTTATATGTCACCTCTCAAATTCACATCTCCCAAATCCCAGGCTCCCCTATGAATTGCAAACTCAACATCTTCACTCAGATGGCCAATAGCCTTATTAAAATCTCCCCACATGGTGGTCCACTTTGCTTTTCCCATCTCTGTTGATGGCGACTCCTGCCTTCTGGCTGCTCATACCCAAACTCTTGGAGTTATTCTCAACAACTTAATGTTGGTACATTCCCATATCCAACTTGTCTGGAAATTCTCTTGGCTCTACCTTTTTTTTAAAAAAATGCAGAATCTGAGTTACTGCTATGGGTATCAGCCATCAGCTCTTGCCTGCGTCCACTTGTGGTCACTCACATTCTCTATACAGCACCCAGAGTGATCCTTTTCAAATAAAAGTAAAATCTCTTACGGGTACTTCTCCATTCAAAAATCCTATGGTTCGAATTTCACTCGGGGCCCACAAAGCCCTTCATGATGAGTTTCTTCCACCTCCCTTTATCTTTCTGTTCTTCCCTCCCTTCACTTGGCCTTCTGATTTTGTTTGGCCAAGGTAGTGGTTTATTTGTCTTTGTCTGTGTAACTGAAGAGGCAGGTGTTATGATTCCTTGCAATACAAGCCCCCCATTGTTTTACTCCTTGCCTAAGCATTCACATACCTGCAGGCTCCTGGCTGGCTTTAGAAATCCTTCCCCCTCCCTCCCCGCCCACATCACTGTAGGAGGTGAGTACGGAGTCACTGAAGGTGTTAAGGAAGTCATATTTGCATTTAGATAGATTATTTTGCTTTCCCAGTGGGGGATGGATTTAAGGGGAACTCTACCTAGAGAAAAGACTATAAGAGGAACCACTCACAGAGTTTTTACAACAGTCCGAATGGGTGCCTGTGCCGAGGCTGTGATGGTTAGTGGGGGAGGGGAGAATCTTACAGATCCCCAAAATACCTTAAGGTAGAATTGGAGCAGGCCCCACTGGTAGTGTGTGGTTCTTGACTTGCTGTAGGAAGATTTCACTATACCAGTCCAGGGGATTTTGAGAGTGGGCCTATTAAAGGTGGGGGCAAAACAAACAAACAAAAAAACAACAAAAAAAAAAACAGGGGGTGCTTCAGGTAGAAGAAACAACAGGAAAAAGTCAGAGAAATGGGGGCCTTGGAGATAGGTTCAGGAGATTAGTCCAGGATAAGCTGCTGCTACCCTATGTTCCCCTGGTTGAAAGTTTTGTGGGGTCCCTGATAGTTTAGGACTGTGGTCAGCAAACTGCGGCTCGCAAGCCACATGTGG